GCATTGAGCTCCCATCGGGCCGACGCGTTACATTTTTGTCTTCCCCCACCACGGAGTGTCGGGCGTTTGCCACCGTGCAGGCGCTCGTGACAAAAACTGTGCGCGTACCTCCGGGGGCTCAGATGCTCGTCCCTCTTAGGTTGCGTCGGCCGTTTAATGAAGGGGTTGCGGATCAGGGGGGTCTTGTTGGGACCATCTCGGGCCGGGGTCAATGGACCCGATTTGCTCGCGGCTCAGACCATGGTGAGAGGGGATGGGGACCCCTTCATTGCAGTCCTTAATGTGGGATCGCGAACGGCCGTGGTTCCTCAAGGGACCGTGCTTGCACACGCAACGCCGGTACCCTATGAGGAACCACTCGTGGGTCAGGTATCCACCGATCCTCCGTCGCGACCGCATTCGGACTGTGATGACGGATGGCTGGATGCGCTTTGCGCGGGTTCAGTGGACCTGTCCGACTCGCAGCGCGCGCAGCTGCGAGTTCTCCTGAGCGAATTTGCTGACGTTTTTAGTCAACACAAATTTGATATTGGTTGTACCAAATTGCTGCGACACCATATTGACACGGGTGACAGCGCGCCAATCCGCCAAAATCCCTTTCGGTTGAGTCCCGCCGAAAAGGATCATGTCAAATCGGCTGTTGATGACATGCTAGCCGCCGATATCATTTCCCCTTCCAACAGCCCGTGGGGCGCGCCGATCGTTTTGGTGAAAAAACACGACGGCTCACTGCGGTTTTGTGTCGACTTTTGGCGTCTGAACAAAATCTCTGTGGCAGATGCGTACCCGCTTCCTCGAATGGATGAGTCGCTCGATGCCTTGGCGGGGGCGCGATTCTTTTCCACCCTCGATTTGCTATCTGGATTCTGGCAGCTTCCTCTGGATGACGAATCAAAACCTAAGACTGCTTTTCGTACACCGCAAGGTCTCTTCCAATTTAACCGCTTGCCGATGGGTTTACATTCTGCGCCGGCAACTTTTCAGCGGTTAATGGAATTGGTCTTGGCAGGTTTGCAATGGGATTCGTGTTTGATTTACTTAGACGATGTCATCGTCTTTAGCAAATCCTTCGAGGAACACCTCCAGAGGTTGCGTGCTGTTTTTCTCAAAATGCGGGCTGCCAATTTGAAATTTAAACCGCAGAAGTGCCATTTACTCCGCGAATCGGTGCGATATTTGGGTCACATTGTTGGGCGCTCGGGGATATCCACTGATCCCGCCAAAACGGAATGCGTCAGCTCCTGGCCGACTCCCACCTCGATGGGAGAGGTCAGGAGTTTCATTAGGTTCGCATCGTATTATCGACGATTTGTGGCTGACTTCGCTACGATTGCGAAACCATTGCATGCCTTGACGTCCAAGGGAGTCAGGTTTCATTGGGGGCCGGAGGAGGAGGCTGCTTTTCGCGCCCTCCGGAATGCTTTGGTGAGGGCTCCGCCGTTGAATTACCCCGATTTTTCACAACCCTTCTTGCTCGATACAGATGCAAGTAACACGGGCATCGGGGGCGTGCTGTCCCAGCTCATTGGGGGCGTAGAGCATGTGGTGGCTTACGGTAGTCGGGTACTGTCTCCAGCCGAACAACGGTACTGCGTTACCCGTCGGGAATTATTGGCGATTGTTTATTTTATTCAGCAGTACCGCCCGTATCTGTACGGTCGGCGGTTCACCGTCCGTACAGATCATGCGGCACTACAGTACGCCCTGCGGGTTCAACAACCATCGGGCCAGTTGTCTCGATGGTTGGAGATTCTCCAAGACTATGACTTTGTCACCACATATCGTAAGGGTGTCCGCCACACGAACGCTGACGCCCTGTCACGATTGCCACCCACTTCGGAGTGCGCGTGCCTCTTGGGTTCGGGGCGTTGTAGGCCCCCGAACGTCACCACCGATTCGGTCCTCGTGGCCGCTGCCGATGCGCCTTCAGCTTCGGGTCCTATCGAGCAAGAAGGGAGGGATTCGTTGCTGGGGTTGTCGGTCGCGGAATGGGGACGCCTCCAAATGGAGGACACCTCCCTCCTCGCTCTGCGCCGTCGCGTCGGGGGGGCTGGTCAGGGGGTGGCGAACGTTGACTCGTGGGGGTTGTTCCAGGGTCTTTTAATGCACTGGGATGGAAAAACCCGCCGCCAGCGGCTCGTGGTGCCTGCAGCATTAAGGGGTAAGGTGGTATGGGCTGTTCATGAGCGGCTTCTGCACTTGGGGGTTCACAAGACCTTTGCCACGCTCCAGCTCGATTTCTTCTGGCCGGGCATGGCAAAGGACGTGGGGGATCTCCTGGGGTCGTGCACGCAATGCGCGCAGAGGAAGCCACCTGCTAGGGGGTCCAACCCTCCGCTGCAGTCCATAAAGGTTTCCCGGGTTAACGAGTTCGTCGCTCTGGACATACTCGGCCCATTTCCCGCTACGCCCAGGGGCAATAGGTATTTATTAACGGGGGTCGAGTACTTCACGAGATGGCCTATGGCCTGGCCCCTGGCCAACCAGTCGGCAGCAGCCATCGCGGAGGCCTTTGTCCAGGGCTATGTCCTCGACAAGGGTGCTCCGGAACGGCTGCTTACTGACCAGGGTAGGAATTTTTCTGGTAAACTCCTACGCGAGGTGTGCGACCTCTTGGGTACGGAGAAGGTTCGGACCTCTCCGTATCACCCACAAACTGACGGGATGGTGGAACGGCTGCATCGGACAATCACGTCTATGCTGTCCCAGCAGGTGTCAGTATCCCAGACGGATTGGGACCTTCGTATAGCCGGTGTGTTGCAGGCCTACAGAATGGCTCCCCATGCGGCCACCGGATTTTCCCCTTTCTTTTTAATGTATGGGCGCGAGGCTAACCCCCCTGTGACGACCCAGCTGAAGCTCTCGGCGCCCCAGGCGAAGTCTAACTTGTCCGAACACGTTAAATTTAACATCAGCAAATTGTCTGAGGCGCGGGAAGCGGCCGTGCAAAATTCTGAACTCCGCCAGAAGGCGAACGAGAGGCTTCGGTTGGGGCGGGTACAGGTGGTCAAATGGAAACCAGGGGACAAGGCGTGGTTGCACTGTCCCCAGGTGCCGCTGGCAACCTCGTCAAAATTGGTACGGCCGTGGCGGGGGCCAGTGGAGGTCGTACAGGTCTTGCGGCTGCAATGTGTTCGCGTCAAATGGGGGAGGCGCCGGTGGTATGTGCACCCCTCAAGGTTGAAACCATTCATCGCGCCGCCCCGGGGTTCACACGCACACACGCATGGCCAAACGTGTGAGGGTTCCGCCGACTCCCCGACGTCGCTGCACTTGCCTAACCTGACATCGACTGTTCCGTCCCCAGGTGCAACAGGAGTGACGGGTCCACACCCACCAACCCCTCCCGGAGGGGTCGGGGGTCACTCGGCAGCGACGCCTGACTCTCTTGCACCCGGACCGTCAACAACCGTCACTGAGCGTGCCGGGACGGGCCCTTGTGACGGGCCCGCCGCGAGAACGCGCGCCAAAACGCGCAGACTTTTGTGAGGTCGGCCGTTGGGGGGCCTTGCGGACAATGGGAGGGGTGGCGTCCGGAGTGTGTGTATATATGTTGGTTTTGGGGTGTTTATTCGGGGGGGGTGCGTCGTTTTTTTCTCTCTCTCTCTCTTCCTGTTGTTGTTCTTGTTAAGGTTCTTGTTAAAAATTACGCGAGGCACACACACGGGGTTTTCGTGAGGGATGCACCTTTATTCTGATTTTTTTTGCAGCCAGGGACGGCTGCGAACTGTACAGGGGGGGGGGTGATGTAGAGGTGTAATTGCGCATGGCTACGAATGTTGAGGTGTGATTATGCATGGCCACGGGGTTACGGCCGTACACAAGGGTGGCGCTCGCACCGACGTCCGCAGGTGCATCCCCCACGGACCCCCCCTCGGGGGCCAGTCCTATAAAAGGTGATGAGCTCGAGGGCTCGAGGTCGGGACTCAGCTTTAACCAGAGAAGACGGAAGACCTGCTAGAATAGGCCCCAGAGCTCCCCTGGCTCGCTGTCCTTATAAGGGCCGACCAGGGCAAGCCGGTGGCGTGGCCCCGAGAGCCCAGACTAAGCTGGTCTGGTGACTCAGGGTGCCGGGATCGCAGCTTAACCAGGCTGGGACAGATAGCCTCCCTAGCCCCGTAGTGGAGGGCTTAGCTGTCGTGAATCCCTGTAGCCAAGTGACCTGTAATTACTGTGTTGTTGTAATAAACAAGTGTGCCTCCGATCCTGTCGTCAAGCCTCCCATATACTTACTACACATACTAAGGTGGAGGTTACTAGCACCGTCACAGATGCCATGGGGGGAGAGAAAAAAAAACAGGCAGACTGCCACGTGCAGTGCCGATCTGGATGTGGATGCTGTAGTCGGAGTTCCAGCTCGCCTACTCGCCTCGCCCGTGGAGTTTGGTCTAGCAGGGAGCCGTCGCTACGCCTAAACCCGCGACCTCGACGAAGAAGCCGTTGCCGGTCCCTCGGGGGTCGGAGTCCGCTGCCACCGAGCGCAGAGCATCGGGAGGGACGAACACGGATGAGCGCCGATGAGGGGACACCGATCTATGCAGCCAGATCAGCCGAACTTGCCCTAGCGATCAATGGATGGTGAGAAGGTGTCGCTGCCAAATCGCCCGGCACATCCAGAAACTGTTAGTGCGCCCTCCGTTATATATACCACCGCGAGCGCGCGTGCGGCTACGCTATGGGTAGCTACGTTTCACGCGAGTTTGCTTTTTTGCGTGATTATTAGCGTGAAAAGCTAATTAAAGTAACTATTCTGACGACGTCGTTTTCAACGCTCGGAATTTACAACTTCCAGCGAAATGTTGCGTTTGTGAGATTCTTAAATGGCACGATTGCGTTCGTGACGTCACCGCGCATAATGAAGAGGCAGCGGCGACGTCACGAGCGGCACCATTGGCTCGTGGCGAGCTCACAGCGTGACGTCACCGCGTTGGTGAGTACCCGCACGCACGTAACCCCCCCCCACCTCCGTGCGTTTGCGTCATGACGTCCTCCGCACGCTGCGGCGGCGATGACGTCATTGTCGGGGCGCCTATTTCAATGTCCGCGGGCCGGGTCGCGGATTTTTGTTGCTCTGCTTTCTTACCGCCGCCACAACCACCACAACTCCTGCCGCGTCTGCCCCGGCGCGAGCGATTCTCTTGCCACTGAACGTGTCGTGGAGAACGCCGGCGGCCGACCATGAACAGCCTTTGGATCGGGAACGTAAGTGCGCGGCCTCGCCGCTTGGGGATATGTGTTGCACTGTACACACAAGTACCACGCGTACAGTGCACGGCGTGGTCCCCTCTTAGCGGTGTGGCGGGTGAGGATTTTTTTTGTGTCAGCGAGCGGCGTTGTGCGATGTTGAGGAGAGCTGGGGTCCCTGTGGTCTCTCCGTGTGAGTCTTGGCCAGGATCTGCGAGTGCCGGGTGTTTATTTATGTGTGTCATGGTCCGGCTCTGTGAGCCTCGGACAGTTAACACTGAAACGCGTGGACGTCGCCTTCTGGCGGTGTGGAGCCGCGATCATTAATAATGAACCTTTCACGATTATAGAGGGCCCCGAGCGTGGCTCGTATGTGCCTCGGACATTGTCTCTTAAGGCACATCGACAAGAATTTGTAATCGAAAGTATAAATTGTTGAAATGAAAACATGGATGTTTTTGTTTGCTATCCCTGCTGGAGCTAGCCTCCTGCCATGTGGCTTCAAGGTCGCGTTGCCAAGTAGCGATCCTGCATCGTGTGAGGCCTGTTTGCTCGTTTATGCAGACTAGGTGGCATTTGTTAACCGGTGCAGCTGGATTGTGTGTAGCCCACCTTTGTGTAATTGTGTGCCTCAACAGCCGCCTGTGATCATCTGGCGTGCTTCCTACGTAGTTCCGTTGGCTGACTCAAGTTGGCGAACTTGTCTGAGAGGACGTCCTCTATGGAGATGGAGCTATGCAATCCTGTGGCGTGCGAGTGCTTGATGTGTCGCACAGCTACAGCTAGCATCACGGGGTCCACTCGGCTAAAATAAAGAACTGCAGCTGGGCATTGGAATAATTGAGATGTTGATGTAAGGTGGTTTTGAGATGCTGGGGAATTCGTGTCCAATAAATGCGAATTGGAGAACCGTGGAAGATGATTTCAACCAGCAGTGGATTGATCATGATTCATTTATTATCGTACTTACTCTTGGAAGTTATATTCCGCTCGCTGAAATTTGTACCTCCACTGCTGTTGATTCGCTTATCTTTGAGAAATTCTACATTCATGTCAAAGCTCAGTCCAACCTTAATACAGCACTGCAATCACTATGGACGGACTTCCCACTGGGTGATGGAAATTCCATCATACTTTTTACGGGTCTGATTTGTATCGAGAAATCCCCAAGTGGTGCAGTGTAACCAGGTCCTGCTCTCTTTACTGATCCTGAAGAGATGATGGACTGCCTTCCATGACTGGAATGTAAAATTGGGAACTTGTAATCAAGAGTACATTGCACTTCTAACCAAAATACAATTTGCCATCTTAAGCTGTGTTGCTCCCGAATACATTGATCTTGTGGCATATCCTGGTCATGTGGCCCTGTTAGCTCGTCTGCATCTGATTGAGAGTATCAACCTAAGCTTGGTCCCTGCAGCGTGCGCGAGGTGAGAGGCAGATGAAATCCACAACTCTGTAATTGTTTCCTCCCTTGCAACAGTTGGCGCCGTACATGGATGAGTATTTTCTCATGCGTGCCTTTGCCGAAGCGGCACATCCTCTTGCTGGCGTGAAAATCATCAAAGACAAAGTGTCCAAGTAAGTTGTCGAAAAGCATGCTGCGGAAACCGCTATCGAGATCAGTTTTCGGAAGCTTATTCAGAAATGTGTAGCTTGCTAAAAGTATATACTTGCAATAAAAACAATAGTTTCATGCATAATGAGACTGAAACTCTTTTGTGTGTAAATATATATTTTTCCCACGAGTGTGCATTGCAATGTTTGCATCAACTCATTGCTTCAAAGGTAAGTGGTGTGCTAACTTTGGCCCCTGTCACTGGTGAACTCTTACACCTATTTTGCACCACGGTTGTACTGTACGGAGCCAGTCGGATTTGACTCAGGAGTCACCACTGACGTCAAACCCATTGAACAAGTCGAGACTCATGTAAATTATGCAATACGCTGCGTTTCTGTTGTACTGATGTCACATGCAGTGAAAGCTCAATTGGTCCCGCCCCTGGCCCTGCTGGACCCCGAGCTAGACTCGGATGTCTTGAGGCCAGCATATCACAGTTTGGTTCGTGTTTGACAGCGCTAATACCCTGTAGGGGAAAAAAACTCACTGGTGCCATGAGGCCCCCCATACTGGCTCGGCTTGAATATACCAGTGGAAAAGGTGGATTATATATAAACTATTGGAAGGACCCAAACTATGGTTCTGCAACCCCAGCACCCCCGCCTGCCAACCCCCAGGTGTCCCCCTCTCGCACACATTTCCATAGCCCCCCCCCCCAATCACACACCCCTTCCCATGTTCCCACTCCCATGGCAGGCCAGCGCTTGGTCTGCAGCCAATGCAAAAAATTCCAAGAGCTGGTCGGTTGTCCAATTAATTATTGTACATAAATAATGTCCACGTAGTTTGTTGCTATTTGTTATCCTATTTTGTCTGGATGGTTAAAGTGCAGTGGCTTTGCTCTACAATCAGGTTGTGAGTTAAAATCTAGCTTAAAAGTCCACACAGCCGATTTGGCTATAAGATTGTAAAAAGAAAATGAGCATCGCTTATTGGGAGACCAAAAGTGGTTATGCTTTGGTTAGATTTTTCCCTGTCATTGAAATGTGAAATTGTTCACTAAACAATTTTTCATGGCACTATTTTGAAGCTTTTTTTCAATTTTTACTATAATGCAACACGCTGGTGGGATGATAAAAGTGTTGGGGTTACCCAGGACCAGTTCAGTTATCAGCCATGGTTAGCAATCAGTTTGAGGTTTTGTCAGGTTCCTAGTGCATTCATATCTGCGCCACCGCTACCCGCAAACCTGTTTTATCCATACTGTACATCATATTAAGAAACATTTTAATCCGAGCTTACGTTCCCTTCTTTCTCGTTCCAGAAATCCCCTGGGGTATGGATTTGTTGAGTTCCCAAGCAAAGAAAAGGCTATGGAATGTCTGCACAAGTTAAATGGCAAACCAGTGCCCAATTCCTATCCAGTAGGTTACACACAAATGTATTCACCTGCCATGTTTTCTAATTGTGCTACTACAGTAATTGTAACCATATGTTTAGCATGCATATATAATCGAATACTGAATAGCGGTTTTATGGCTAAGGACTCTACTGTATTGGAAACACATTGTCTTTTATAACTCTTAATTCAAGTTGTGTAATGGATTCTGCATCCATTGCAATGGTGTGACGCAATGTTGTCTATGTAGTCACACTGAAGTGTAATGTCATGGTTGTATACAAGTAAATAAGAATCGTGTACTTATCTTTTAGGATGTATAATAAGTTTGTTTGTAGATATGTTTGTCTGCTTTCCTTTTTAGACATTTCGGAATGTGATTTGAAAAATCAATAAAGTAAACGTCTACTGCGTTCAGCGGAGCGCGACATGAAGCAATGTATGATGGAATTAATGAGACAATTCTGCTTTATAATGACTTCGTATATTTTCTTACCAGGTGTTGATGTTCAAATTAAATTATTCTACTTATGGAAACAGTATGAATCATAGGTATGACGTCTGCAACTGTGTTTAATTTCACCACATAGACCATGTCATTAATATTCTGATTTTCTATCTGCTTTCCAGATAAATTGCCCTTTGTTGACATGTGCCTTTATGCTCGTTATCCACAGTGCACATGAAGACTGATGTGTTAACTCCAGGTTCCAAGTTAAATGAAAACTTGTAATGCTTATTAACACAACGTCGTATACATTTTAAAAAGACAATTCCATGCACATGAAGGACCATGCTATCCATTGTTTTGTGACTAAAAAAAAGTTCCTTTGTCATCGCAGCCATGGTTACACGCTCTTCCTGGGAGACCTCAGCCCGGAGGTGGACGACGGAATGCTCTTTGATTATTTTTCACCACGCTACCCGTCGTTTAGTGCAGCCAAGGTCTCGACAGATGCCTCTGGTCAATCCAGGCAAGTGTGGATTTCGAGTTTACACACGTGAGCGGGGCACTGCGTGGTCTGTGAGCTGGCAACGGAAGGGTGCCAATAGTTAAGTGGCATTTCTAATGTAAACGGATACAGGAATCCCTCGATTTCCAAACGTTTGGTTTAAGAAAGTTTGCGTTCACGCAATTGACAAATTATGGACACACATGAACGAAATCGAATTTTGCCTAATAACGAAATTTCACACGGCAAGGTGCCATGAGTTCAAACTCGTGACTCCGTGTCATCGATCCGTGACAATCTCACGGCATCCGTGGAATATACGCATTAACGTCCCAAAGGTTACTAACAAAGGGGGGGGGGGGGGGGTTGGCGGCATTGGGTCCATTTAGCTCGTTACGGCAGGAAACCACACAAGCTGGAGGGCAGACTGAAGCCGCTGCCAATGATTGCCCAAGCTGCATGGTCTTCCTTCACTACCAAATTAGAGCTAATTAAATGTTGAAAATTAATTGACGAGTACGTCTTGGCTCTGCTTCAACTTCATCCATTACTAGACTAAATAAGGTCATTTATAGCATGTCGAGAAAAATACACGTTCACCTTTTTTACAAAAACTAACAATTTGAGGACGAATCTGGAAGTATTTTAATACTTGCAGCCATTATTTCCTATGTTGATTAACAAGCATCAAATGATGCCCTTGCAGGCTTGTGTAATAATTCCTAGATTATCAACTGCATCTCTATATAATTATAAATGTGAAAGAACTGTTTATTATATTGTAGATATGGTGGCACATGGTTTTCCCAACGCAGGCTAAAGGAGAAACAAAGTGTTTATTTAATCTTGCATTGGGATGAGTGCAACAATACGGGGATAAGGTCTTTTCTTTACAGCAAAGGCACAATTTTGATCATTGGCTCGGTCTTCCCATCATGCCTTGTGTCACATGACATCACCATGCTGCATGTTTCCAGCATGTGTCGACTTTTGCTTCAAATTAGTTTCTCATCATTTACAGAAAGTGTTTAGAATTGGCTTCTTGCATTTGGATGTTTATTTAATTTCTCCCTCACAAAAGGAGTTATACTAGTTTCAAGCTTATCTTTCCAAAGTGGGTAGCCAAGTGGGTAAATTACTTATTCTTCAGCTTGTTAAATAGTAGTCATGATAAAGATTCTGATTCTTAAAACATTTCCAATCTTGCCTGTGCATTCTTGTTACTACACATACCTTTCCAGGTCAAATGAAGGCTAGGTAATGATTAAACAGTGTTTGTTAAACACTTGTTTTTCTGAACGAAAGGCATTGGTAATTATACTAAAATATATAACCCTAAAGAATGCATCAGTATCTTTATTCACCCCCGTTTTTCAGTAACCCAAAGGAATTCCCCTTTAACGTGTTTTACAGCCCAGTGATGAATGATGATTAAAATACAATCTGCATATTAATGCCGTGAGTTGTTAAGTAACTTGTGCTTGTGCGGTCTTCCTTTGCCCACTAAAAGGGGCTTTGGCTTCCTCAAGTTTGGGGACGAGGCGGACATGACGAAAGCCTTGCAAGAGCAACAGGGAACATGGGGACTGGGACAAAATCCGATTCGCATCAGCCTCTCCATTCCACGCAGGTAACCACTCGAGTTGGGGAGATGCTGATATCTCTTGTATCATATCAGGTGCATGATAAGTGTATAATCGCTTTTGCGAAATATCTTGATTATTATTCTTAGGTTTTTTCGGTAAAGTCACGTAGGTAAAACATCAAAATTAATAAAAATAAAATAAAAATCACGACGTCGTGATTTTTATTTTATTTTATTTTTATTAATTTTGATGTTTTACCTACGTGACTTTACCGAAAAAACCTAAGAATATGAATCCTTGCAGTCACGAAAGCTTCAAATCTAGAATCTTGATTATTGTTACTCCTTTGGTTTTTTATGTTGTATTTACTGATTTCATTATTCCTGATTCCAAATGCAATTAAAATGATAACTAAAATAGCTCTTCTTTATTTGTGCTTTGCTCATGTTATTCAAAGCACATGGCAGGAATACACCAATATGACTTTTGCAACCCATTTTAATGTAGTTATTCATTGCTTAACAGACTGCACATGTGCGTTACAAGTATTATACATTGTAAATTTGTAAGGAAAATAATATTTGTGGCAGCCTTAAGTTGAGTAATCTTCAGTTGAAGAAAGTTTCAGTAATCGTTTGCATTTTGGCAGTGGAGCAAAGCGCAACATCGGTACAATAAAAATGTGAATACAATTACTCGCTTAAGATAAATTGATAGTGTGATAATTATCATTTTGTGACATTTGATAATGTGTCATGAAAATAGATGTGGCAACACTAACAACAGCACGACTCATTGTTCACCTCGGGCTTTGCTGCAACCTATGAGTCATGCTATAAAATTAACGAATGTTTGTTACTGTACATACAACGTACGCAGATATGGGAATAGATAATGTGCGTCAATTTGTTAAAATAGTAATACCAATTGCAGTGTACGAAGTGGTTTCTATGTAAAAAGCAGCAGAGGGCAGTGCAGCGAAGTCCATTGTACAATACAACGATCCCTCGATGTCCGCGGGGGTTACATTCTTTAAAACTGCCGTGGTTGGCAAAACCACTTTTGGCCATTCTAAAACCATATGGGGAATAGGGGGTTAGGGCAACCACGGCCGTGGTCACACCTGTCAAAGCCTAACTAAGTTGCCTGGTCCATCGCGAATCATAAATATGTAAAAAAACGTTCAAGTACCATAATAAAAAAACAATGAAATAATGTTATTTACCTATAATACTGAGGGTTGAAGTCCATGGTGACGACTTTTACGAGGATGAGTAAATTGGTCGCGAAAGCCTACGTGTTAAACTAAATAGGAGATGTTCTAGACCCCATTAAGCGTCCCACCACCGTCTCGCTCGCCATGATAAAGCTGATCAAGCACTTCCAATTTCTTCTCCAAGGACCTCACTTTTATTGGCCTTTTTGCACTCGTTTCACCTTTTAACACTGGTTACACGCTTAGGGACAATGATTAGGGCAACATTTCTGCAAATAAACAATAATTAAAAGTCTAGAAACGCGGACTAATGCATTTTAGCCATATTCTCGTAACGCTTCTAAAATCTAACTAACTTAGGAAGATCCGCACTTATGAGCCAGCTTCCATGAGATATATTTATTTAACATAGGCTTGTGAACGCAAACTCGCACTTGGGTACTGAATCACGGAAACTATTTTGTTCAGTGGAGCATTCTTCTGCGAGATGTATCCCACTGGGACTGAGTGTGTGTGCGCACACGCACTTGTGTAGTGAAAGTGAATTTGCGTGTGTGTGACGCTGTGCATGCTCCCGTGAGTGTGTGTGACACTGTGCGTGCTCCCGTGAGTGTGTGCGACGCTGTGCGTGCTCCCGTGAGTGTGTGTGACGCTGTGCGTGCTCCCGTTAGTGTGTGTGACGCTGTGCGTGCTCCCGTGAGTGTGTGCGACGCTGTGCGTGCTCCCGTGAGTGTGTGCGACGCTGTGCGTGCTCCCGTGAGTGTGTGCGACGCTGTGCGTGCTCCCGTGAGTGTGTGCGACGCTGTGCGTGCTCCCGTGAGTGTGTGCGACGCTGTGCGTGCTCCCGTGAGTGTGTGGGGAGCGGTAGTCTAATGCTGAGCATGCTGCGCTACCAACCTGGCAACCCGAGTTCGGTTTTCGCTCACGACCAACACCAGTAACGATTATCAGACGTGTCCTGGGCCTCCCTTAGGTCAACTCAGCCTTAAAGGAGTACCTGGTGCAGTGTGTTAACATTCCCACTGGGGAGACAAAGGTGGCCAGCCGTGGTGCTGGCTACCCACCCCCCTTCGTGTGCTTTTTCGGCCTTCGTAGGCACTGCTTGCTAACAGCACTTGCCCCAACAGTCTGTTCCCGGACATCTGTGAAGCAGATATTTATAGGTCATCGGGTTCCTCCAGTATAAATAAAGATTCTTATTCATAAGGCTATACAGGGGATCGTTGTCATTGTTGTGTGTGTCTGTGTGCGTGCGTGTGCGTGTGCTTGCCCCCGTGTGTGTATGTGCGCAATTGTGGGGACTCATTAATGCCCCTTCCAACAAGCAAGCCAGTATCAGGACTCAAGGTAATTTAATTAAGAAGTATTTGTTTCTTTAATTTGTTTGATTTACTATACAGTATTTATTACAGTATTACATGCAACTGTACAATAATTCTTATGAGTTTAACAATGCTTCCCTTTGAACCGTAAAACACATTTTATTACAAAGACTGTGCATTTAAATACAGTACATTACTGTGTTCTGACTTAGGAACTGTTTGACATGCAAACAGGTCTCGGGAATGGAACCCTTTAGTAAGTCGAGGACTGACCGTAGTTATTTAATAATTAGCAATTTCAAATGGATGTTTTGTTTTACTCTTCAATATTGTATTTGAGATTAATGCAACGTGAATATATATGCACTACAAAATAATGCAATTCTTAAAATTGAAGACATTTGGCAAATGCTAAAGGGCATTCTGGCCAAACTATTGTTGCAGAATTTGAATGTTTTGTTATTAAATTGACCAATGTTTTGTATTTCTTGTCCATCATGAAAAGCATGGGGAAATCCCCAAGGTCTTATGCAGGTTTGGAAAGCAACAGCCAATTTCAAGTGCCCTTTGAGACAACAGATGGCCACCCTTCATCCGGAAACAATAAAATAAGCAGCAAGGGGGACCGTCCGACCAATATCAGCCAGCTGAACTACACATACACTCAATCTACATTACAGGTGCGTACCTTTTTTGATTGAGCATTGTACCAAGCTGTGGGCTGTGTGAAGGATTACTTCAGTGGCGTAAATAACAGGGGTTGCCAAACTACGGCTCCCAGGAAATTTGACTGTGGCTCGATGGAGATGCAGCTGCTATTTTCATGTTTCAACACACTGTGTTTTGAAACGGGGTAAATATTCTGAAGTGGGAGCAGCCCAGGGCACTTGCCCATTGCAGTTCATACCCAGACCACAAGTTCCCAGGGTGCTGCTTCTAGATGTCTAAATTCAAAATTGCACAGCCAACCCGTGCCAGCGTGCACATGACCACGCTAGGTGCCTTGTGGCCCTCGGTCATATGAAGATTTTGGTATGCGGCTCATAGAGTTTTGACCTCTGGTATATCACGTGGAAATTTGTTATTCTTTTAAATTAGCCATTGTGAACTGCTTTTGTACACAAACATTTTGAGTATAAACACATCTAGATAACTGTTTGTACAAATCTATCATTACCACTGTTGCACAAATATTGACACGGACAGACCTATTCATGTTACTAACTGGTACATTTTTTTCCCCATTGTCAGGAGTATGATGCAGATGATTGTACACTTGAAGGTAAGTTTTAGTCATTTTATGTTTAAAGCTTGATATTGAGACGAGGGAGTGGGCTGTGTTGTAATGATTAGCAAACTACATTGCAATCCAGAGGTCGCTGGTTCAATTACATCTTTATAATTTCAACCGCTATGCCTGGAAGACAAAGGAAAATCTCTGGATTGCAAGTCCATTGTACATGTGCATTACAGTATGTGTATTTGCTGTATCTACAGCAAACACGGAAATCTAATGTTCACGTTTGTGTGGCTTTTATCTTTCCATTCTCCAGACCACAACTCCATTCTCGATGTGGAAGCAGCGAACCGAGAACTAATGGAGCACAGTGAGGAGCTGTTCGACTCCCTCATGAGCTGTCACTGGCAGCCATTGGATTTTGCCCCCAGCAAGCGAACGGCAGCTGGTTTGGACACTTGACCGTGCATTGGCTGGGCTCAACACCAATCCAAATGCAACACAACACGGCACAGGAAAATCAGTCTATCCTTGTACCTAACCGTACGGCGTTGTGTGTTATAGGTTGCAGCGGGAGTGTTTTATTTTTTAGTAACGTGATGAACGAATGTTTTTGTGATTACCCCCTCCCCTTCTGACAATGCTCATTGTTATTGAGTCGTTTGTTCCAGTCTGGGTATTGACTGACGATCAAGCACAGGTTTTTTTTTTTTTGTGTGAAAATTGTGGGTAGAACGATTCACCGCCGAAGCATTTTGTTGAATTGTAACGATTTGAGGTCGCGATTCATAAAGTTTTTCTTTACGTTTTGGTGAATGGTGGTGCCTCCTTATGGCTACAGGAGCAATTTGAGCCCATTTTTTATCCAACGTCGGGCAGTAGCTATGATCTATCTACTGCTGAATGAAGGCCTACCCAAGTAATTGTCCTTCATTTTCGCTTCACGAAACCACAATCCATAAAGCTTGTGCACACAAAGTAATTTAACTGCTCTTTCCACTAGGTGGTTGCATAATCGGACATGTTGCCGTCTTTGGCTGCCACACAGTCAATAGTCATGACCACCTGCCACCATCCGTTATGGCAGCATGTCCTGCCTGAGCACATTTAATGGTCAATATGATGCCTCTAACTTCTATGTTTTCTGATCCTCATGTTCCTCTTGCTGTCTTAATGCAAGTCCAATCATGAACCTCTCCATGCATTTTTGCACTCTCTTCAGATGTTCCATTTTCTTTGTCCATGTTTCTGATTCATTTCACAACATGTGTACACTATCTAAAAACTGTCTTTGGGAAGATTGAGATGTTGCTTTTCATTATCATGATCTTGATCTATCCACATCCTAGTGCACACAGAATGACATCTTGAAAAATTGCGACTAAACATTCAGAACTCTGAAAGCTCATTATTACTCTTTTTTTAACCCAGGAAAGCCTCACCCAAATGTCAACACTCTTGAGGAGGGTCCTGCAAAATTTTCCGAATAGGGGGTGATTATTCAAAAAGGGGTAATCCCAGTGAAGCAGTTTTCCGTCATTGTGTTTGAGCAATACCAAAGTGATTATTTTTTTTACTGAAAAGTTTTCATGGGTTTTGGGTTGCAGCTGTGATTTACAAGTCGGTTGTAAGTGATGCAGAAGGATGACAACTATAAAGGTTCAATTTAAATAGTAAAATGTTTAATTTTTTACGTAGACTTTTGTGTATTTTTTTCTGAAATGTATTTTCAGGATAAAAATTCCTTGCAGAAGATTTTGGGTTCGCAAATTGTGTTTGTAAATTTCACTGCCTTTTTACAAAAAAAGAAGCTTTTTTCTGTTGGTTTATTTTATAGGTGTTTATATAATCGCATACATTTTCAGTTTATTTTCATAGGGTGTTGTGTCGTAACTGGCCCCATTTTACTTGAAGGGAAATAAATTGTAAACATGACCTACTTTTCACAACACAAACCACCTCTTCGAGGCAGGTCGTGGTAGTGTTTTGAGATCCTTTAATTTTCATTCATGTCACGTGTAGTCAAACTGTTTCATTGAAATTGGTTTTACTTGAAGGGAAAAAGCGAGCATATTAAATTATTTGTCTTTGATAATCACCCTTGGGTGTGGGCAGGGGAAAGAGGACTGCACTCGTAATGACATTGTTCACCCAAATCATCGACAAGGCCTTGTTTATGAAGGAACACATTGCATTGTAAATACATATGCATTGATAAACGCATATATGCCAAGTCTGCTGATCCTACTGCAGATATATTTGCAGGCACTTTGACCTTTTACATTGCGAATCAAGCAATGGTGGATATGGGAACGTGTGGAGTGTTATCTGGAGATTTGCCTTGTAGTAAAAAGAGCCATAGAAAGCTTTAGCCTCGCCCACATTACGCCGCAAGAGAAGCCTTCACAGTCCATGGCCGTCGTGTCATTGTCGGTGCATATGCCACTTTGTCGGAGGTTCCTGAATCGACGTTGCTTGAAATCCATCCATACATAAATACGCGGCCCGTAAAGCTGCTTGTGTCAAAACAAAGTATCGTTCCATTCTCTTTGTCCCCTTGCAATGTGATCATGTATACGACGGGGAACTTAGCTTTGTTACAAAATAGGAGTGCATTGTTACTCTTTCACGATGCACTGTTGAATGTGTGCGCGTTGCGGTGAGGACACGGAATTACTGCTGGCCTGGTCGACTGTGCACAAGTCGGTGACGAATAAAAAGATTGTAATTTTGAAGCGAGTACCGAGCCAAGAAGCTTGTAGAGAAAAGTAAAAAAAAATGTGAAATGTATTCATTGCCATCGCTGTACTGTTTTGGCTTTTAACAACTTTTACGTTAACCTTTCATCCATTGTTTATGGAGTTAACTAGCATTGCGCCATAAAAATGTATACTTCTCGAGCAAAAACAAATGATTTACACCAACCCCTCATTCCTGTTTGTGGTACGAAACGATCTTTTAAAAGATTCTAGCTATAATTTTCCAGAAATTTCGCAGTTATTCACACCAAAACTATTTTGATTGTCACTTAAGTACCATCCCTTAATTGATCCTGCACAACAATGAAAGGACGCGCAGAGATTCCTTTCCTGAGCAAAGGAATGTAAAATAACTGGTACGTCAGTATTCCTATTCATGTTTTCGCAATGTTTTGGCATGCATGCGTGAGTTTGAAAACCACACCGAATTTAAAACGGCAGGGTACAATTGTACATTTTATTTGCTATCGATACGAATATGCTTCGCAGCTGACACTTTTTATTCTCGAATTAAATTATTCCATGGTTGACGAATCATAAACATGTAGCACTTTGGGGGTAAGTTTGGAGAACACAATCATCACTTGTGTTGGACGGGGGAGGGGGGTAGTGGTGGGCAGGAGATATGAATCGGACGTTGAGAAATTCGCGAGTTCGAATCCACGTCTCGGATTACACTCCACGTAAAATCACCCAGCGGCCACAACAACCGTTGGCATACTTTAATGGCATTGAACATTTACAATGTATTTTTTCTCACGATACAATCCATTTAGCTCTTGCACATTCGATGGTGTCCTCGGGCGGGGAGACCTGCATTCACCAGTGGCTCGATCATGGCAGATTGTGACTCCGCTTGCATTCTGATTTCTGACAGCTGGTTAAGACAATGCATCCCCGTGTCCTTCAACCGACGTCTCGTTAATTATCGGCCAGCTAAAAGCAATTATCGCCATCGCCGCTTCACTGTTGGCTCGTTTGTCAATCCACTCCCCTTTCCGTGCGAGTCGTAGCAGACATTACATAACGTTCGTTCACCACGCTGCTCTGTGGGTTGGGAGAGCTGCAGAGATATCTTGGACGTGGGGGGGGGGCATAGCATGTACAATGCAGTGATGAATATCCTTGCACCATTCCCTGCGCAGCCGCCGAATGACCACTCGGAAGGTCGTTGGTATGTCGCCCAGCCAAGCGCTCTATCCAGGCTCAACCTGCAGAGCCTCGGAGGTGTGACGAGATCGGGCGCATTCCGAGTGATTTGTCCACAGACTGGCTAATAATTAGGCGCCAGTAAACTTTCACATTGTATAAACGGTATGTGCGCCCAGTTAATGTATAACGAGCGTTCCTCGTCGTTGGGTTTACATACGCATTTTGTCTTGCTTCTGGAACCTCTATTCCAACCTTTCTTTGAAACGAGCACTTTTAATAGCTGTGCTGACACATTCACAAATGTCGCTGCCGTATGTGCATTGCACAATCACCACCGAGATAGCGTATCTTACAAATTGTGACTATAAAAATACCTTTCTTAAAGGGTGTTATTTACCCTTCCGAAAAAGTACATACGTCTCGCATTCAACTAATTGTCAGTTTCCATCATAATTGTCAGGTCCACTGCTCGCTTACCAATTAGATGATTTTCAAAGGCCACAATTCTAGTTAAAGTCGACTGATTTCCATATCGGTTATGGTAACAGAAATCGCAGTCTGGCACATTGCGGTGTGGATGAGCTATTATCCGTCCCTATAAATTAAGCAACTACAAAGTAGCCCTTTAGGCTATTGCTACACTGCACAAAATAAACCGCACTAACCAGTTCTCGTGGTTTCTCTACTGCCGGATAAGTTTCGCGACCCACCCAATCGTCCGATCGACTAAAATATATATGCGCGCGTGTGTGTGCGTAAAACGCAGAGCAGACTTCTGCTCCTAATTGCCGTATACAGCCAGTTGAGTGAGCTGATAAATCAGGCGTTTCCCACCGTGCATGTATAGTACTACTGTCGCGTATTTACGGCACGATTGTTCGCTTGCGGATTACCACCAAGGCTATCCGTAATCTCCGCTCGTGGGAGCCCACAACTTTGGCAACCGCCTCTTCGCCAACCACATTCGACCGCGATTTCCTTGGTCTCCACGCGTGCCAGCACGCCCCGCACCCCGCCTGCCACTCGCCACGTGTTTGACGATGGCAGCCGGAGCGGGGCAAGGTGCTGGCAGCGGCCAGATGTGCACGCTCTCAGCGGAGCTCCCTCTGGGTGCCGACACCATCAAGAGCCCATCGGGGATCATCATCATCCCTGAGCTGGTGAGTCTGCTCGTGCTTGCGCCTCCGCGTGTGTGTCCGTGCGTAAACGGGTGCTCGCTAACACCACAGACATACGGGGGGGGGGGGGTCTTTGCGTGTACCAGCGGTAGGTAGCACGAGTGGCACAGCGGGAGTGTTGCAGTGGCCAAGGAAACGCGCTGCGAACGCGACCATCAGCGATGAATATTTGAACCGGTCCGTCTGGGCATACCCCGAGGTTGACTCAAACTCAACTGGGTGCGGAGCGTCAACATCGCCGCTTGGGAGAGACGGGCGGGTCGCGTGCGCGTTTACCGGCCAACCATTCACGTTTGTGCGTTGAACTTCTTTCGCGCCGTACGTAGCCAACCGCGCTGATCGGAGGTGCCATTCGGGTCTTGTGAGCGGTGCTCGCCAACGACTAATCCGCACTTGCCCCCAAACAACCTTTGCGGATAAATTTCGATTTAAAGCTTTCGTGACTGCAGGGATTCATCTTCGAGGTTCTTTCGGTAAAGTCACGTAGATTCAGATGCTGTCTTCCCGACAGACCTGTTCTTCACCTGAGGACGGCTGCTTGCGTTGTGGCCGAAACGTGAGAATTGTATTTTATTATTTCCCTTCTACGTGACTTTACCGAAAGAACCAAGAAGATGAAGCCTTTGCGGACTATAATTGGGGGGGACCCATGTCCTGTGTTTAGCGGTGGCATCATGGTCCGCGCGCTGCCATACGGTGCCCTTGCTGCGCTCGGGTCGAGTTCTCTGTCCGTGGCCATGGCTTGGAGCACAGCAGCACCTGGGAAACTGCTGCAGCATAGCACAGAGTGGAACGGCGGCCCGCCAAGCTTCAAGCCGCAGGACCAGCCTTGCGTTCGCTCTTGTCGAGGTGAATGCCCCGGGCTGGTGAGATCAAGGTGGCCAGGCGTGTGCTTTGCGCTGTGTGTTTTGCGTTTTGCGCACTCGCAATTCAGCGATTTTAGAAATCTTAAGGGCTTGCACAGCAAATCACTTTGACACGAGCTGGTAACTATATGGGATATTTAAACAGCAGATCGTACGCACGCATAATCGCAACCATCTCGTCCCCTTTTCGACGTAAACGTGGCAGGGTCCTCGTGGAAGACGGTCATGAGACTCAAGTGAGTCTTTCCCAGGCAATGTTGTGGCAACGCGTAATCCGAATTGAGTCCTCATATTCGGCGAGGCTTTCCAGGGTGTATGTACGTTCACAATACATTCCAGTGAATTCTGTCATTCAGTTTCATCTTCCCGCGTGTGCATTTGTGGAAAGGGCAGAATTCTACAGTGCAGTCATCATCCCTCGTTGCACGGCCAACTCAATGCCGTCCGTGTAATTTCGCTTAATGGACAACTTTTTCGGGAGCTTATCTGTCCCCGAAATCGAGGGACATCCGTGTATACTGCACCTCCACGTGTGGTGCATTCCACACATCGTCTCCATGCCACGTAGCCCGTCAGGACACTTTTTTGCACTTTGACCAGCACAACAAGCAAACAACCTAACACATTCGTCAATAAAACGTCTTTAAAGTGAACAAAACCGCACGTGTGTAACAGGTGTTGTTTCGGAGAATGACACTTTGACGGTTTTGAATGCGACGTGGATTAAGTTCAATCCGGAATTGGGGCTGTTCCAATTCTGTTTTATTTTGCCACGCCCCATCTCTGCTCATGGTGTCCGCACGATACCGTGGTGTGCCATTGTGTTCTTGGAATATGGGGGCCGTCCATAAATGACGTCACGCGATTTTGAACGATTTTTTACTCCCCCCCCCCCCTCGTCACACGGCGTCACAAAAAGTCAGACCCCACCCCCTCAAATATAACGTCACAAAGCTCTGCCCCCCCCCAAAAAAAATAAAACATGCTTCAAATCGCTTTACGCTATTATCATTGTAGTGCGTATTTAATGTGGCGCTGCACTCTGATATTGTAGGAGAAAACATGATAAAGCTGATCAAGCACTTCCAATTTCTTCTCCAAGGACCTCACTTTTATTGGCCTTTTTGCACTCGTTTCACCTTTTAACACTGGTTACACGCTTAGGGACAATGATTAGGGCAACATTTCTGCAAATAAACAATAATTAAAAGTCTAGAAACGCGGACTAATGCATTTTAGCCATATTCTCGTAACGCTTCTAAAATCTAACTAACTTAGGAAGATCCGCACTTATGAGCCAGCTTCCATGAGATATATTTATTTAACATAGGCTTGTGAACGCAAACTCGCACTTGGGTACTGAATCACGGAAACTATTTTGTTCAGTGGAGCATTCTTCTGCGAGATGTATCCCACTGGGACTGAGTGTGTGTGCGCACACGCACTTGTGTAGTGAAAGTGAATTTGCGTGTGTGTGACGCTGTGCATGCTCCCGTGAGTGTGTGTGACACTGTGCGTGCTCCCGTGAGTGTGTGCGACGCTGTGCGTGCTCCCGTGAGTGTGTGTGACGCTGTGCGTGCTCCCGTTAGTGTGTGTGACGCTGTGCGTGCTCCCGTGAGTGTGTGCGACGCTGTGCGTGCTCCCGTGAGTGTGTGCGACGCTGTGCGTGCTCCCGTGAGTGTGTGCGACGCTGTGCGTGCTCCCGTGAGTGTGTGCGACGCTGTGCGTGCTCCCGTGAGTGTGTGGGGAGCGGTAGTCTAATGCTGAGCATGCTGCGCTACCAACCTGGCAACCCGAGTTCGGTTTTCGCTCACGACCAACACCAGTAACGATTATCAGACGTGTCCTGGGCCTCCCTTAGGTCAACTCAGCCTTAAAGGAGTACCTGGTGCAGTGTGTTAACATTCCCACTGGGGAGACAAAGGTGGCCAGCCGTGGTGCTGGCTACCCACCCCCCTTCGTGTGCTTTTTCGGCCTTCGTAGGCACTGCTTGCTAACAGCACTTGCCCCAACAGTCTGTTCCCGGACATCTGTGAAGCAGATATTTATAGGTCATCGGGTTCCTCCAGTATAAATAAAGATTCTTATTCATAAGGCTATACAGGGGATCGTTGTCATTGTTGTGTGTGTCTGTGTGCGTGCGTGTGCGTGTGCTTGCCCCCGTGTGTGTATGTGCGCAATTGTGGGGACTCATTAATGCCCCTTCCAACAAGCAAGCCAGTATCAGGACTCAAGGTAATTTAATTAAGAAGTATTTGTTTCTTTAATTTGTTTGATTTACTATACAGTATTTATTACAGTATTACATGCAACTGTACAATAATTCTTATGAGTTTAACAATGCTTCCCTTTGAACCGTAAAACACATTTTATTACAAAGACTGTGCATTTAAATACAGTACATTACTGTGTTCTGACTTAGGAACTGTTTGACATGCAAACAGGTCTCGGGAATGGAACCCTTTAGTAAGTCGAGGACTGACCGTAGTTATTTAATAATTAGCAATTTCAAATGGATGTTTTGTTTTACTCTTCAATATTGTATTTGAGATTAATGCAACGTGAATATATATGCACTACAAAATAATGCAATTCTTAAAATTGAAGACATTTGGCAAATGCTAAAGGGCATTCTGGCCAAACTATTGTTGCAGAATTTGAATGTTTTGTTATTAAATTGACCAATGTTTTGTATTTCTTGTCCATCATGAAAAGCATGGGGAAATCCCCAAGGTCTTATGCAGGTTTGGAAAGCAACAGCCAATTTCAAGTGCCCTTTGAGACAACAGATGGCCACCCTTCATCCGGAAACAATAAAATAAGCAGCAAGGGGGACCGTCCGACCAATATCAGCCAGCTGAACTACACATACACTCAATCTACATTACAGGTGCGTACCTTTTTTGATTGAGCATTGTACCAAGCTGTGGGCTGTGTGAAGGATTACTTCAGTGGCGTAAATAACAGGGGTTGCCAAACTACGGCTCCCAGGAAATTTGACTGTGGCTCGATGGAGATGCAGCTGCTATTTTCATGTTTCAACACACTGTGTTTTGAAACGGGGTAAATATTCTGAAGTGGGAGCAGCCCAGGGCACTTGCCCATTGCAGTTCATACCCAGACCACAAGTTCCCAGGGTGCTGCTTCTAGATGTCTAAATTCAAAATTGCACAGCCAACCCGTGCCAGCGTGCACATGACCACGCTAGGTGCCTTGTGGCCCTCGGTCATATGAAGATTTTGGTATGCGGCTCATAGAGTTTTGACCTCTGGTATATCACGTGGAAATTTGTTATTCTTTTAAATTAGCCATTGTGAACTGCTTTTGTACACAAACATTTTGAGTATAAACACATCTAGATAACTGTTTGTACAAATCTATCATTACCACTGTTGCACAAATATTGACACGGACAGACCTATTCATGTTACTAACTGGTACATTTTTTTCCCCATTGTCAGGAGTATGATGCAGATGATTGTACACTTGAAGGTAAGTTTTAGTCATTTTATGTTTAAAGCTTGATATTGAGACGAGGGAGTGGGCTGTGTTGTAATGATTAGCAAACTACATTGCAATCCAGAGGTCGCTGGTTCAATTACATCTTTATAATTTCAACCGCTATGCCTGGAAGACAAAGGAAAATCTCTGGATTGCAAGTCCATTGTACATGTGCATTACAGTATGTGTATTTGCTGTATCTACAGCAAACACGGAAATCTAATGTTCACGTTTGTGTGGCTTTTATCTTTCCATTCTCCAGACCACAACTCCATTCTCGATGTGGAAGCAGCGAACCGAGAACTAATGGAGCACAGTGAGGAGCTGTTCGACTCCCTCATGAGCTGTCACTGGCAGCCATTGGATTTTGCCCCCAGCAAGCGAACGGCAGCTGGTTTGGACACTTGACCGTGCATTGGCTGGGCTCAACACCAATCCAAATGCAACACAACACGGCACAGGAAAATCAGTCTATCCTTGTACCTAACCGTACGGCGTTGTGTGTTATAGGTTGCAGCGGGAGTGTTTTATTTTTTAGTAACGTGATGAACGAATGTTTTTGTGATTACCCCCTCCCCTTCTGACAATGCTCATTGTTATTGAGTCGTTTGTTCCAGTCTGGGTATTGACTGACGATCAAGCACAGGTTTTTTTTTTTTTTGTGTGAAAATTGTGGGTAGAACGATTCACCGCCGAAGCATTTTGTTGAATTGTAACGATTTGAGGTCGCGATTCATAAAGTTTTTCTTTACGTTTTGGTGAATGGTGGTGCCTCCTTATGGCTACAGGAGCAATTTGAGCCCATTTTTTATCCAACGTCGGGCAGTAGCTATGATCTATCTACTGCTGAATGAAGGCCTACCCAAGTAATTGTCCTTCATTTTCGCTTCACGAAACCACAATCCATAAAGCTTGTGCACACAAAGTAATTTAACTGCTCTTTCCACTAGGTGGTTGCATAATCGGACATGTTGCCGTCTTTGGCTGCCACACAGTCAATAGTCATGACCACCTGCCACCATCCGTTATGGCAGCATGTCCTGCCTGAGCACATTTAATGGTCAATATGATGCCTCTAACTTCTATGTTTTCTGATCCTCATGTTCCTCTTGCTGTCTTAATGCAAGTCCAATCATGAACCTCTCCATGCATTTTTGCACTCTCTTCAGATGTTCCATTTTCTTTGTCCATGTTTCTGATTCATTTCACAACATGTGTACACTATCTAAAAACTGTCTTTGGGAAGATTGAGATGTTGCTTTTCATTATCATGATCTTGATCTATCCACATCCTAGTGCACACAGAATGACATCTTGAAAAATTGCGACTAAACATTCAGAACTCTGAAAGCTCATTATTACTCTTTTTTTAACCCAGGAAAGCCTCACCCAAATGTCAACACTCTTGAGGAGGGTCCTGCAAAATTTTCCGAATAGGGGGTGATTATTCAAAAAGGGGTAATCCCAGTGAAGCAGTTTTCCGTCATTGTGTTTGAGCAATACCAAAGTGATTATTTTTTTTACTGAAAAGTTTTCATGGGTTTTGGGTTGCAGCTGTGATTTACAAGTCGGTTGTAAGTGATGCAGAAGGATGACAACTATAAAGGTTCAATTTAAATAGTAAAATGTTTAATTTTTTACATAGACTTTTGTGTATTTTTTTCTGAAATGTATTTTCAGGATAAAAATTCCTTGCAGAAGATTTTGGGTTCGCAAATTGTGTTTGTAAATTTCACTGCCCTTTTACAAAAAAAGAAGCTTTTTTCTGTTGGTTTATTTTATAGGTGTTTATATAATCGCATACATTTTCAGTTTATTTTCATAGGGTGTTGTGTCGTAACTGGCCCCATTTTACTTGAAGGGAAATAAATTGTAAACATGACCTACTTTTCACAACACAAACCACCTCTTCGAGGCAGGTCGTGGTAGTGTTTTGAGATCCTTTAATTTTCATTCATGTCACGTGTAGTCAAACTGTTTCATTGAAATTGGTTTTACTTGAAGGGAAAAAGCGAGCATATTAAATTATTTGTCTTTGATAATCACCCTTGGGTGTGGGCAGGGGAAAGAGGACTGCACTCGTAATGACATTGTTCACCCAAATCATCGACAAGGCCTTGTTTATGAAGGAACACATTGCATTGTAAATACATATGCATTGATAAACGCATATATGCCAAGTCTGCTGATCCTACTGCAGATATATTTGCAGGCACTTTGACCTTTTACATTGCGAATCAAGCAATGGTGGATATGGGAACGTGTGGAGTGTTATCTGGAGATTTGCCTTGTAGTAAAAAGAGCCATAGAAAGCTTTAGCCTCGCCCACATTACGCCGCAAGAGAAGCCTTCACAGTCCATGGCCGTCGTGTCATTGTCGGTGCATATGCCACTTTGTCGGAGGTTCCTGAATCGACGTTGCTTGAAATCCATCCATACATAAATACGCGGCCCGTAAAGCTGCTTGTGTCAAAACAAAGTATCGTTCCATTCTCTTTGTCCCCTTGCAATGTGATCATGTATACGACGGGGAACTTAGCTTTGTTACAAAATAGGAGTGCATTGTTACTCTTTCACGATGCACTGTTGAATGTGTGCGCGTTGCGGTGAGGACACGGAATTACTGCTGGCCTGGTCGACTGTGCACAAGTCGGTGACGAATAAAAAGATTGTAATTTTGAAGCGAGTACCGAGCCAAGAAGCTTGTAGAGAAAAGTAAAAAAAAATGTGAAATGTATTCATTGCCATCGCTGTACTGTTTTGGCTTTTAACAACTTTTACGTTAACCTTTCATCCATTGTTTATGGAGTTAACTAGCATTGCGCCATAAAAATGTATACTTCTCGAGCAAAAACAAATGATTTACACCAACCCCTCATTCCTGTTTGTGGTACGAAACGATCTTTTAAAAGATTCTAGCTATAATTTTCCAGAAATTTCGCAGTTATTCACACCAAAACTATTTTGATTGTCACTTAAGTACCATCCCTTAATTGATCCTGCACAACAATGAAAGGACGCGCAGAGATTCCTTTCCTGAGCAAAGGAATGTAAAATAACTGGTACGTCAGTATTCCTATTCATGTTTTCGCAATGTTTTGGCATGCATGCGTGAGTTTGAAAACCACACCGAATTTAAAACGGCAGGGTACAATTGTACATTTTATTTGCTATCGATACGAATATGCTTCGCAGCTGACACTTTTTATTCTCGAATTAAATTATTCCATGGTTGACGAATCATAAACATGTAGCACTTTGGGGGTAAGTTTGGAGAACACAATCATCACTTGTGTTGGACGGGGGAGGGGGGTAGTGGTGGGCAGGAGATATGAATCGGACGTTGAGAAATTCGCGAGTTCGAATCCACGTCTCGGATTACACTCCACGTAAAATCACCCAGCGGCCACAACAACCGTTGGCATACTTTAATGGCATTGAACATTTACAATGTATTTTTTCTCACGATACAATCCATTTAGCTCTTGCACATTCGATGGTGTCCTCGGGCGGGGAGACCTGCATTCACCAGTGGCTCGATCATGGCAGATTGTGACTCCGCTTGCATTCTGATTTCTGACAGCTGGTTAAGACAATGCATCCCCGTGTCCTTCAACCGACGTCTCGTTAATTATCGGCCAGCTAAAAGCAATTATCGCCATCGCCGCTTCACTGTTGGCTCGTTTGTCAATCCACTCCCCTTTCCGTGCGAGTCGTAGCAGACATTACATAACGTTCGTTCACCACGCTGCTCTGTGGGTTGGGAGAGCTGCAGAGATATCTTGGACGTGGGGGGGGGGGCATAGCATGTACAATGCAGTGATGAATATCCTTGCACCATTCCCTGCGCAGCCGCCGAATGACCACTCGGAAGGTCGTTGGTATGTCGCCCAGCCAAGCGCTCTATCCAGGCTCAACCTGCAGAGCCTCGGAGGTGTGACGAGATCGGGCGCATTCCGAGTGATTTGTCCACAGACTGGCTAATAATTAGGCGCCAGTAAACTTTCACATTGTATAAACGGTATGTGCGCCCAGTTAATGTATAACGAGCGTTCCTCGTCGTTGGGTTTACATACGCATTTTGTCTTGCTTCTGGAACCTCTATTCCAACCTTTCTTTGAAACGAGCACTTTTAATAGCTGTGCTGACACATTCACAAATGTCGCTGCCGTATGTGCATTGCACAATCACCACCGAGATAGCGTATCTTACAAATTGTGACTATAAAAATACCTTTCTTAAAGGGTGTTATTTACCCTTCCGAAAAAGTACATACGTCTCGCATTCAACTAATTGTCAGTTTCCATCATAATTGTCAGGTCCACTGCTCGCTTACCAATTAGATGATTTTCAAAGGCCACAATTCTAGTTAAAGTCGACTGATTTCCATATCGGTTATGGTAACAGAAATCGCAGTCTAGCACATTGCGGTGTGGATGAGCTATTATCCGTCCCTATAAATTAAGCAACTACAAAGTAGCCCTTTAGGCTATTGCTACACTGCACAAAATAAACCGCACTAACCAGTTCTCGTGGTTTCTCTACTGCCGGATAAGTTTCGCGACCCACCCAATCGTCCGATCGACTAAAATATATATGCGCGCGTGTGTGTGCGTAAAACGCAGAGCAGACTTCTGCTCCTAATTGCCGTATACAGCCAGTTGAGTGAGCTGATAAATCAGGCGTTTCCCACCGTGCATGTATAGTACTACTGTCGCGTATTTACGGCACGATTGTTCGCTTGCGGATTACCACCAAGGCTATCCGTAATCTCCGCTCGTGGGAGCCCACAACTTTGGCAACCGCCTCTTCGCCAACCACATTCGACCGCGATTTCCTTGGTCTCCACGCGTGCCAGCACGCCCCGCACCCCGCCTGCCACTCGCCACGTGTTTGACGATGGCAGCCGGAGCGGGGCAAGGTGCTGGCAGCGGCCAGATGTGCACGCTCTCAGCGGAGCTCCCTCTGGGTGCCGACACCATCAAGAGCCCATCGGGGATCATCATCATCCCTGAGCTGGTGAGTCTGCTCGTGCTTGCGCCTCCGCGTGTGTGTCCGTGCGTAAACGGGTGCTCGCTAACACCACAGACATACGGGGGGGGGGGGGTCTTTGCGTGTACCAGCGGTAGGTAGCACGAGTGGCACAGCGGGAGTTGCAGTGGCCAAGGAAACGCGCTGCGAACGCGACCATCAGCGATGAATATTTGAACCGGTCCGTCTGGGCATACCCCGAGGTTGACTCAAACTCAACTGGGTGCGGAGCGTCAACATCGCCGCTTGGGAGAGACGGGCGGGTCGCGTGCGCGTTTACCGGCCAACCATTCACGTTTGTGCGTTGAACTTCTTTCGCGCCGTACGTAGCCAACCGCGCTGATCGGAGGTGCCATTCGGGTCTTGTGAGCGGTGCTCGCCAACGACTAATCCGCACTTGCCCCCAAACAACCTTTGCGGATAAATTTCGATTTAAAGCTTTCGTGACTGCAGGGATTCATCTTCGAGGTTCTTTCGGTAAAGTCACGTAGATTCAGACGCTGTCTTCCCGACAGACCTGTTCTTCACCTGAGGACGGCTGCTTGCGTTGTGGCCGAAACGTGAGAATTGTATTTTATTATTTCCCTTCTACGTGACTTTACCGAAAGAACCAAGAAGATGAAGCCTTTGCGGACTATAATTGGGGGGGACCCATGTCCTGTGTTTAGCGGTGGCATCATGGTCCGCGCGCTGCCATACGGTGCCCTTGCTGCGCTCGGGTCGAGTTCTCTGTCCGTGGCCATGGCTTGGAGCACAGCAGCACCTGGGAAACTGCTGCAGCATAGCACAGAGTGGAACGGCGGCCCGCCAAGCTTCAAGCCGCAGGACCAGCCTTGCGTTCGCTCTTGTCGAGGTGAATGCCCCGGGCTGGTGAGATCAAGGTGGCCAGGCGTGTGCTTTGCGCTGTGTGTTTTGCGTTTTGCGCACTCGCAATTCAGCGATTTTAGAAATCTTAAGGGCTTGCACAGCAAATCACTTTGACACGAGCTGGTAACTATATGGGATATTTAAACAGCAGATCGTACGCACGCATAATCGCAACCATCTCGTCCCCTTTTCGACGTAAACGTGGCAGGGTCCTCGTGGAAGACGGTCATGAGACTCAAGTGAGTCTTTCCCAGGCAATGTTGTGGCAACGCGTAATCCGAATTGAGTCCTCATATTCGGCGAGGCTTTCCAGGGTGTATGTACGTTCACAATACATTCCAGTGAATTCTGTCATTCAGTTTCATCTTCCCGCGTGTGCATTTGTGGAAAGGGCAGAATTCTACAGTGCAGTCATCATCCCTCGTTGCACGGCCAACTCAATGCCGTCCGTGTAATTTCGCTTAATGGACAACTTTTTCGGGAGCTTATCTGTCCCCGAAATCGAGGGACATCCGTGTATACTGCACCTCCACGTGTGGTGCATTCCACACATCGTCTCCATGCCACGTAGCCCGTCAGGACACTTTTTTGCACTTTGACCAGCACAACAAGCAAACAACCTAACACATTCGTCAATAAAACGTCTTTAAAGTGAACAAAACCGCACGTGTGTAACAGGTGTTGTTTCGGAGAATGACACTTTGACGGTTTTGAATGCGACGTGGATTAAGTTCAATCCGGAATTGGGGCTGTTCCAATTCTGTTTTATTTTGCCACGCCCCATCTCTGCTCATGGTGTCCGCACGATACCGTGGTGTGCCATTGTGTTCTTGGAATATGGGGGCCGTCCATAAATGACGTCACGCGATTTTGAACGATTTTTTACTCCCCCCCCCCTCGTCACACGGCGTCACAAAAAGTCAGACCCCACCCCCTCAAATATAACGTCACAAAGCTCTGCCCCCCCCAAAAAAAATAAAACATGCTTCAAATCGCTTTACGCTATTATCATTGTAGTGCGTATTTAATGTGGCGCTGCACTCTGATATTGTAGGAGAAAACATTTATTCAAAAGTCTATTTAATTCAGTAGAACGTGTTGTCTATATTTATTTAAAGTTGCGCATTTTGATTTAATGTCACTTTTCTCAACCCCCCCCCACCCCCTCGTCACACATCGTCACAAATGTCTGACCCCCCCCCCACCCCCCTAAGTGCGTGACGTCATTTATGGACGGCCCCATAGGGTACGATAATAAAAGGTAGAGGACATACTCTTTGGTTCTTTCGGTAAAGTCACGTAGGTATAAAATAAGTTAAATCACGACGTTTCGGACACAACACAAGCGTCCGTCATCAGTTGGGACAACCACAGAAAAAAGCAGTTGCTGAAATAGGCAAAAGAGTTGATGGTAACATTTCAGCAACTGCTTTTTGCTGTGTTTGACCCACCTGATGACGTGATTTAATTTATTTTATACCTATGTGACTTTACCGAAAGAACCAAAGAGTATGGATCCCTGCAGTCACGAAATCTTAAAATCCTAGAAGGTAGAGGACAATAATCGAGGATTGTTTTTGATGGGCATACTTTGTACTCCATTGGAAGTAGTGCCTTCCAAGCCAGCCGAGCAGCGTTACGGAAACATCAAATTAGAAATCAAGACTTTATTTCAATGCTATACAATACTGCTTTGTTGTCGTGGGTTGTTTGACCACATTTCACCAGGCTGGTCAGTGCGGGTTGGTGAATGGGGGAGGGATGACCCGCCACCGACGTTGAGCCATGGTCGGAAATTGAACCCGGTGCCCTAACCACTGCGCCACCACTCGCAATTATAAAATGCTTGCTGATTAACTGGGTGGTAAATCTGACTCAAGTACTCGATTCGCCCCCTGTGGGAATTGACCAAGCCTATAATAAACCCTAGGTCAATAAAATAGATGCCACTTAGTGGGAAGTTAACTGTATTCGTCCGATACATACACATCCGATTCGCCTAATTGGCTACGTATGGGTGCGACAAAACTTCAACGTACATGCGTAATCAACGTCGCAATGTGGAATTTTTTCTGTGGTCTGACATTTTCTTAAATTGGTTGATACTGAGCTCATTCCGTATTCTCGGGCCACTGGATGATCTAATTCGCCAGTTGCGGTATAACATGTATTTACAACTAATCTGTGAATGTGTGTGCGTAATGCCGGGTGTGATCTATTTATAGAGACTCTACGAATGTTTAATGACCATCTTCTTAACAGGTCCTTAAATATTGTCAAAGCGATGGTTCCATATATGACAGAGAAGAGAGGTCATAGATGTAATCGGTGTATTAGTTGGAAACCTGCAGATGCTTTAAAATAAAAAAAACAATCGGTCTTCTCCCTATTATTTTTGCTCCCTGCTGGACTGAATATATCCTCGCTCACAGTACCTGCTAAGGCCGTCTGTATTGTCTTTGTGTGTGAAATAAATACGATTTTACACACCGTTTACTTTTATGAGGGTTAAATGTCTGTTACAGTTTATAGCATTTGTAGCTATATTAAAAGCGTACTGTTAGTGTAAATGTTTACCTTCAAAGCCATTGCAAAGACCTTAAGCCCAATGCGTTTATGAAGGTCTTACATTTATGGAAAATGTATAAATAAAGCATTTTTCGTCATCGAAATTAAGAATCATGTTTATTACATTACCCTAATAATAGCTGATGATGTGGCACACTGTCTCAAAATTGGTCCAGAGTTTGCTCATCCGAGATGCTGCTAAAATAATGCGCTCCCAAAATGCCGTGGTGCCAATGTGTTGTGTAAGAAATATGTTGATGTCGAGTATTATGGAGACATCGCCTGCTTATCTATTTCCTTATTTACATTGGATGCTTCCCAATTAATTCTACTCGAATCACTTATTTACGCCATGGAAGATCTGAGTGGCAAGAAAAAAGCAAGGTCGCATGGAGAAATAGGTTATTGAAATGAAAGAAAAAACTATTTTAAAAAATCCCTCCTTGCAACAAAATAATAGGTAATTTGTGCTAATTTTTAAAAATTGTATTGTGGAGCATTGACACAATTAATAATACTCTGTCCAATGAACCCGACAACATGGGTTTAACACCAGTCCACTGCTCAAATAAGCAGCGAGTAATATCTGAACGAGTGCTGGCTCCGCCGTCACCGACTGCACTTGTAAAATATGACCTTGAACCAAGAGGCAACCTTTGACCTTTTCGTGTCCATATTGTGCAACCCATGTACCCCACTGTACGAAAATGGAATGTTTTACTATTTAGCAATGCATATCACTTGGAACAGATCTTGAACCATTTTCAATTGCCACGAATTTGTTTTCATTTGTTCCCCTTTCTGTTCCAGTATAATGCCACCACATACTTCTGTCCGTGCCTCTTCATGCACTTGGAATATATTGCTCCATTGCAATTGTCACTGTTTTTGTTTCTATGTTTCCGATTCGTGTCACTGCACGAATTACATTAGAGTGATTGAACTTTGAAATGTTGCATTTCATAATCAGTTTTCCCAAAGCGCTTTATTGTGCTCTCGCTTGCCTGTTTCTTTGCGTGTTTATTTCCTCACTATAATTGAAGACTATCTTCAATAATTGACACGAGTGAAGATACTCTGGCATGTTTTCAGTTGCCCCTCCGACAAATAGCATCTTTGAATTAGCAAAGTTTCTCCATGACTTTTAAGTTGAGCTCATTTATCTTGAGCCCAACTTTACTGCCTTCTTTGTTACATATTTCAGTAAGTTACCATAACTCGTTACCAATGATTGTTCAAATGGCTGTGTCATGAGGAAATGTGAGATGGTTTAAATTTTGCTCCATTCAGGTCATGCCTCTTAATTATCTCATAAAAATGTTGGGAAAACATCGTCTAATGTGGCTGTGAATCACATCGTCGAAAGCGCCGTCTCTCTTGTGCGCCATCCCCTTGCGATGTGTATTTAGTTACTTTATGTCGTCTCAGTGTCACTGTTCCACTGATTAATTTATTTTTAAAATACGCCTCCATCTCTAATAGAGGTTTTTGGGTTAGATCGCGTAAATAAATGTGTCGTTAAAACCCGCCACCACCCGACACAGCCAACTAGTAAGGGTTGTCACGTTAACAGAACGTGGCCAATTCGTCACTAGTACAGCACACCGGTGTGTTGGAGAGCCAAGCCACAATATTTACAATCCGAGTACGACGTTTCGCCAGTAATTACAACTGGCTTCATTAGGCGACAGCAAAATTTGTGGATAAGTCTTACTGTTTCGTTCCTCATATAGAGGCGTAGATGTGTTGACCACCCTTCTGCGCTCTTGCACAATGTGTGGGGGGGGGGGGGATTACTGAGTCAACGTACATTATGCATGTGCATTACGCGAGCTCTTTGAACTTGTCCTTCCTGTCTATTGTGTTTATTAACATAGTCCGACCAACGGTAATCCCCATTGAAGTACGCTGCCCTTGTAGGCATGCATTTAAATAATGTATTATTTGATGATTCGATTCCACGCAGCACTAAGACGGTAGCTATCTGAACGGTTAAAGTTATTTTTATTTCTTTCAATTTTGATAGATTCTCTAATTAGTCTTGGCCAGTAGTAGCTAGCTTTGCACAAAACTTCAACATTATCCAAATCAATTGAGTGTCCTTGTTGGCACGCGTGTTCTGCTACTGCTGACAGTTGCATTTGGGAGAATCTAATATTTCTCTGATGTTCTTTTAGTCTCATGCTGATCATTCGTCCTGTTTGCCCAACATAACATTTACCACACGTGCAGTTAATCCTGTACACAACCCTACCTAGTGGGCTGTGTCGGGTGGTGGGCAGGTTTAAACGACACATTTACATATTCACGCGATCTAACCCAAAAACCTCTTATGGATGATATTGGTCGCGAAAGCCTACGTTTTAAACTGATGTCTCCATCTATTTCTCTTAAGCGAGGGCAATGATTTTTCTTGGAAGCAATAACCACAGTATTCCCAGCATGGAAGCACAAGTTCTGTGGGTATCGTGTGAACGTCGGTCTCTTTGCTGGTGGCAGGTGTCCGGGGCCCTCGTCTGGATCCTGGTGGCCTCGACGCAACTCCGTGGCACTGAGATGCACCAGGGATGGGTGATGTTTGTCTCCGTCACGTTTTGCGTGCTCTCCATCATCCAGCTGGTGCTCTACCTCACTGGGACAGCAAAGCAGAGCAGCACTTGGATCCATCTGGTAAAATATATCTATTGCTATGGCTCTGGGGAACTAATTATTGGTGGGTGATCATTCTCGTGATAAGCAATAAACTGTGTGTGTGTGTGTAATAGGGGACAGAGGGGGGGAAGCATTGAATCGGTGAAATCTCGATAAAAAAAATATTACACCAATTCTTAATACAGTTTACAGGGGTTGTTATATGTATTTTTTTGTTATTGGCTATGTACAAAGTATTGAACAGTTTGGGACCTCTATATAGCTGTGATCTGTTGAAGCCACTATAGCCCTATGAGACATCTCCTTTACCAGTGGCAAAATATAGTAATAGGTTTTTACCCTTTCAACTGGTACAAAAACTGACACCTTTATACAAGGCATCATGTTTGCAATAACCACAACACAAGCAGTCAAAATGCAAACAAAAAGAAACAACTCTGATAATGATATGCACTGTCCTTGAAGTTGATTGGTCCACACCCGAGATAGCTTTTCTTAGAGCCTAGTCTCCATTGGTGTTGGACCAGATGACGCCAAAAGGCGTACTAGGCTCTAAGAAAAGCTGTCTCGGGTGTGGACCAATCAACTTCAAGGACAGTGCATATCATTATCATTATCAGAGTTGTTTCTTTTTGTTTGCATTTTGACTGCTTGTGTTGTGGTTATTGCAAACATGATGCCTTGTATAAAGGTGTCAGTTTTTGTACCAGTTGAAAGGGTAAAAACCTATTACCTCTATAGCCCGTCAAGAACTCTCCACTCAAACAATGTCTGAGGTTGATGTTCTCCACGAAGCTCCTCAAGGTGGGACAATCCTGAATTTGGCTCATGCTGCGCTAGGACTTTCGAACTCACTGCCTATGCACACCAAAAAGTCTAGGAGTGTTGCTGTCTGAAAATCGTCAGGCACAGTCTTTCCAGAATGATTATTAGTTTATAATACAGGGATTTGTCATTTCGTTGTTCTAGGCCTCCATAATTCCATGTTTTTGTGTGCATCGTTACGTTTTTAATTTGCGGTCATTTCACAGTGCACTTTGAGACTTGACTCATTTGTGGTGTAAATATAATAATTAATAATTATTACCACGAATCTGAGGATCTCTGAGTAAATAAAAAACCTGCATTGTCCTATTTTAATTGCGTAGTGCATTCTAACAATGGCGGCGTTGTAATAATTTTGTGTCGCACGCACATGGTCACCCCGCGCTGCCGATGCATCCCCCTTTGTTTTTGCTTGCGATGGTCGCGTTGCAGGACTTGGCGCTCAGCATGCTCGCGTTCACGCTCTACCTGAGTGCTGCAGTGCTGCAGGTCAACGCCACCATCGCCATGTTCAACGTGTACATCGAACAGTGCGGTCTCGGCAATACGGACATTGAGGAAGCAATCCTTCACTTGTATCGAGTTAATCTCGCTGCAACGGTACTGTGGGGCTTCATGCCCCTTTGCTACATGCCTCTTTTGATGGAAATGCAATTAATCGCTTGTGAATGTTTTTTTATCTCTTTATTTTGTATATGGGGTATGTAATGAGTTAACATTACCCCCTGCAGCCACTAGAGGTACTGCCATTAAAGGCAAAGGTGAAAATAAGAACATTGAAAACACTGTCATGCCTGAACCATCAGAATTAATGAAATTGCTAGAGAGGTAAATTGTTCCACCCAGATCTTGATTTCTCAATCAATATTTTCCAGAACACTGCTCAGCTGGTTTGGAGTAGGGATTATTGGTGTAAGGTACTACCACTAGAGTACAAGGTCCACCTATCCATAACAATCCCATATTATTGTACCTTACATTCCTAATATACTATGAACAGGTTTTTTTTAAAGAACATAAGGTGACATTTCCAGAACAGCTTTCAGAACTCTTCTGTCTTGAATTTAGCCCTAGTTCCACCCCTAAAAAATTAAATGTATTATCCATTTAGCTGGAAATAGGCTCTTCCATTGTGTGCATCAGAATGTCCTTTAGACACATCCCACTATACACACCATGCACTGTTCAATTGGATTAGCTATTATTTACTTGGCAGTCTTACAATAAAAGAATACTTTAATGTGGTGCGACCTGTATTTTTTTACTAAGTTTCCATGTTTCGGTCTTCCCAAGTGCTTCCATGTTTTCTACTTCCAGATATTGAAATGGTGGTAGAATAATCAGAATGATACATAAGTAACATTGTTTTTCCACACATTGAGCGACAAAAAAACGTTAATAACTCGGGCTGTAAGGATGTGTTGGTTCATCTATTAATCGTCCGTTCTTACACTTATGACACATGTATTGAATCCTACACGTGAGTATCAATATTTATTTTATTCATATGTACAGTATGTTATTCACATGACTCCTGAGGTTCACTGGCACTATAGTGCTACATTTAATAACAAATTAGTAATAGATTCTGAAATCCCACTAACAAATCGACAGTTTGTCAAATTATCACCAAGGGGAGCAAATAGTTAGTGCAAGTTAAAACACTATACAGGCATTTCACATCAAACAGATCATTCATAAGCAGATATGTTTTCATTTCTCCTTCTGCTTTTTCCTTCCCAGGTATTTGCGTTTTTGACCACGGGCCTGTATGCGGTCAGCGCATTCATCAGCATCCAGCGGTGGAAGCTGAATTGATTCGTCTACAAGAAGCTGCCTGCTCCAAACATTATCGTCAATTCGAAAGCAAGCCTATTCTACATACTTTGTGTGTATTCAATTGCATTGGTATAATGCTTCTGTGGATGGGCGTAGTATTGTCCACGTGTTATCCAGTACTCTAGTTCCATGCAGATGGTGACATCAGCATGGTGGATCATGCTGATGTGGGACTCCGAGTCTGCTTGATTACACATTTACCAGTAAATAATATCATAATAAAAACAACAATGTTTATTTACAGCCCTTTGCATACCCACAACGTATTGCCATGGGGGTTGTGTTTACTATTTTTGTTCGCTAATCAAGCGTGGGTGTCGAGGTGCCATGCCTTGGCTTGCCAGGAGAAGGCAGATACAGCAAATGGGAACTCCACCTGCTCTATCTGTATGGGATCGAGTATTGTCCCCTCACACACGTGGAGTTTCTGCAGGTGCTCCGGTTTTCTCGCACGTGTAAACACTAATTAATTGGCTGAAAACTTCTTATATAGACGGCCGCAGTGCTTGGGCAATCGTTGGCATCGCCTCACTTTGTGGCATTGCCTTCCCGCTTGTCTGTGGTCCCTCGCGCCTCCGAGTCACTATTTCTCTTCGAGAGCGAGCAAACACTGTGCGTGTTGTAAGTTGAAATGATGAGTAAAGGTGCAGGGTGGAGTGTTACCCAGATGTCAGGCGCTGCTGGTCATATACCATGTGGCCGGTGAAACAGTTCACTGACAACTGCACCACCAATCCCCCAGGGAGCAAAAGAGTGACACGCAAATAATAAACAGATATCAAGCGTAACTCGACATGTATACCGGAAAACTATGGGCTCTGTATCCTGTATATAAATGTATATTGATTATATGGAGAGGTGGACTTCCTGTCTATTCAATAGACATTACCTATGAGCCTCCACCACAGCATATAGAGAGAGTTTTCATGAAGGACAACAATTAGGTTGTCAGTATCGCTGCTCAAAGTGTTTTCTCCTTGTACGTGTGAGGTTTCTCCCAAGTATTTAGGTGTCCTCCCATGTGCAATTCATCATTAACCCTCACATGCACAGGAACCCCCGAAACGTGATGGAAATGTTCCGTATGATTAAATAGCTTTCACGTATATATCATAGCGGTCGACCACAGTGAACACGACGTGTGAGAGAGTTGAGGAATTGACAAAGATACCAATGGAGGACCTGACTGAAAATGCCTTGAGATTCTGCTGAACATGTTGGCAATGAATATATTTATGTAGTATTATGATTCACACAAGAGGTGAGATGAATATTTTAACACTGAAATGTGTATAATTGTCAGACTTGGTCTTAGTACAACCTTCCAAATTTTACCCCATATTTAGATATTGCCATATATATGCTGAGAAGTAATTTTTCACAATACTAAAAGCTGGGGCTTCCAATTTCGCCAGGTTGGCATGGGCCCGGGTGCAAGGAATGAAATGGGGTGCCCCACGGCCCCCCCCCCCCCCCCTTCATAGCCCAGAACCGAAGGCCTTTTTTCCTGTGGACCCCAGTGCAGTTGCACTGCCTGCACACACTGGCTCCGTGTGCTGATGTATGCAAAGGCAATACAGATGCACGTTGTGATTATGAAGCAAATTGTAAAAATCTATTTTATAAGGGATAATTTGTTGGTGTGTCGTGATTGGTCCCCTTCATGATTCAATTAATTCTCAGGAATCTGAGGTTTACATTGGATTATTTTTATCGTGATTTTTATAGATAAATAAAGTGGGCTCTGGTGGATCGAATAGTTCGTGAAATTATAACATACAAAGTACCCGAATAAAAAAAAAACATTCTTCACGTGTGATTTAATGCGCATATCATGAGCATAAGAATGAATATAAATTGGTTAATTGCTGTATTACACCTAAATCGACCAAATGTATTTAGAGGCTCAACTGGGACAAATTGAGCTGGCAGCTAATTCCTTTGTGAACCCCGCCCACTTTTTCATAACCACACCCATTCCATCACTAGCACTGCCCACACTCTCATTGGCCTCCCTCTTTCCTACATTGGCCCCGCCTACTGCCCAAAGGCCCTGCCCACTATCAACCCCACCCACTACTCGTGTAGCTCTCCCCCTTGCCACAAGCATGGGACCCAGGACATTTTAAACTGGCCTAAATGTCCTGATTTTCATAAAATATTTCGCACACCAAGGCAGCCGATCTGAAACTTGGCCTGTTCCGGCCAAAACCAAAAGACGTGTTGGTGACTTTAATCGTGCCCCAAGTAATTTGTTGTGCGCCATTCTTTATCAGGGAGCCCTGAACCTTGGAAAGTTCCATTCCTTCCTTTGCGCGATCGATATTCGTGCAAAGCAAACTCCGCATGAACAATGGCAACATTGTTTATACAAAGTAGTAGCTCGGGGTTGAGAATGATAAGACTAGGATTATCGTTATGTTTTCTTTACGGATTATTTTTTTATTTTCACCTTTCACACGTGTAGATATATCGAATGAATGTTTTTCCCCACGCGTGAAATAATACACATCCGAGTCGAATGACATTGTTTTGTCATGTGATATTAACTATTTGTAAATATTGTACTGCAAACTGTTATCTCCACTGTTGCTATGCAAATAAAAATCTCAAAAATATATATACCATATTGGCTCATTTTTGTATTTGGACATTTCACGTGAAGTTTATGCAGTATCATATACACTACAGTACGGCGTGGCATATCCCACTTGCTTGGGACTGAGGTTTTGGCGGATATGCGAAAAGGCATAGAAAATGACACTTGCAGCACACACATATGTCAGTGGACAAAAAAGGGTGAACTTCTTGAAACCATCGACAAATGCTTGACTGCTTTTGAAGTGAATGTACCCCAGTTTAAGAAAACATTCCTGAGTGTGAAAAGATAAGATTTGTAAAGTCACGTAAATAGAAAATAAATAAAGCAAAAAACCCACGACGTTTCGATCGCAACACAAGCAGTCTTCATCAGGTGGAGAGATGAAGACCGCTAGTGTTGCGATTGAAACGTCGTGGGTTTTCCATTTACGTGACTTTACTGAAAGAACCAAGAATATGAATTCCTGCAGTCACGAAAGTTTAAAGTCTAAAGATTTGTAAACATCCATAGAAAATGGCAGTTAAACTACATGCGGATATATATTTAGTCAGCGATGCGATACACTGTATAGTGAAGACAATTTTGGGGAGCGGCATTGCAGTGGTTAGCACTGTGGGACTAACCCAACGACCCGAGTTTGATTCCCAACGACAGCCAACATCAGTGCAGAGTGATATCTGAACCAGTGCTACCCCACTCCCCGTATGGTCAAACAAATTCAAAGACTAGTAGTTGGGGAAGGCCTTCATCCAACAATGGATTTTTTTTTATACGTTTAGTTTACGTTCATGACATTTCACTTTAGGTTCAACACTTGATTTTTGACACGTTAAACTCGTACCACTCCTCTTCGGCAGATTCTTACCCTTACTTTCTGCTGAGTTTTACTTTCACGCACGCCCATGCAATGTTTTTAGTTTTTAATATCTTTGCTTTTCATAATGTTGCGCGGGTCACTTGTAAATGCTTTTAGTAAGGTGTGTGTTACCCTCACTTAATTTTTATCGACGCAGCTGAGAGCCCATCAATGGTTCATTATCTCTCTTGTGAAGAAAAACTGGCATTCTGCCGTATGGACGGTTGGCTTTTATCAAACACAAGGTAGTTGTGCAGCACTGTTTAAGGCCGTTCTAATGCTTCTCTTAGAATCTGATCCGTTTCTTAAGTTTGTCTGTTTGGAGCCTTGTATGTGACTTGCAGTGAACCACCGTTGTTTTTCAATACAGTGTGCTGGCTGTGTAGGGTATTGCTTATCTTTATTCCTGAAACTAATAGTATAGTGTGAGGCTATTGTGTACGGGGATTATGGTAATAAAAAAGAGTCTGCTTCTTTGGCGTGTTTTCAAAGGTGTTGCTCTGGTTTGCTGAGGAGCTGTTCAGCAGAAAACAATGTTTTACAGACAATGGCTAATTTAAGTGATTCAGGCATCAATTTCTGTGGAGGAAGGAAGTTGTTTTCTGTTAGCAAGAGGACAAAAGGTGAGAGTTTAATTTTTAACCAACCACTGTGTTGACTGTGCATTGTGGCGTTTTTCACTTGGTTGGAATAGGCTTCCATTGTGGGAAGGCTGGAGGGGTGAAGGGGGGGATTTAAGAATGACAACAATTCTAGATTTTAAGCTTTCGTGACTGCAAGGATTCATACGCTTAGGTTTTTTCGGTAAAGTCACGTAGGTAAAAAATAAATAATAAAATATAAATAATAAAGCTAATAGAAGAAATAATAGAAATAAAATAATAAATCACGACGTTTCGGAGGCAACACAAGCTTCCGTCTTCAGGTGGAACCGTCACAGCACGATTGCTGATACAGCTGATACAGCTATCGTGCTGTGACGGTTCCACCTGAAGACGTAAGCTTGTGTTGCCTCCGAAACGTCGTGATTTAGTATTTTATTTCTATAATTTTTTCTATTATTCTTATTATTTCTATTTTATTATTTATTTTTTACCTACGTAACTTTACAGAAAAAACCTAAGAGTATGAATGACAACAAGCTGGAGATCTGAGAAGGGAGATCTCCATAATAAAGGTTTGTTGGGTTCGATCCTATAAGTATAAATGTGTCGTTAACTCACCACTACCCAGCAACAGCCAATTAGTAAGGTTTGTTAGATAAACAAAACGCGTCAATTAGTGACTACTTCAGCACACCAGTGTGTATAAGAGTAAACCCACAACATTTACAACCAGCTTAATCAGGAGATGTTCCATAATTTTTTGTTTAGACCCCAAGCCCCAGATCTAAACAGACCTGTTGGGACTTGGAAAGGACACTGTGGTTAGGAGCAAGGGGTATTGGTTCTAACTTTGTGTCTGATTTGAAATTGTGCTGAAGAGTTTGAACGTTGAAGCAATGAAGATACGTGGGCAGAGACTGATGGAAGCCTTTACAAGGGCTTTGGAAATCCCAAAGTTAAGCTAAATTGTGAGTGCAAAAACAATGATAGTCTTTACCCTTCTCAGCAATTATACAGACACCAATTGCAAGGCATCAGGTCTGCATGAGCCACACAGTGTGACAAGGCTATGAAGGAGTCTGTCTCTGCACACATTATCAAGGACATAAAAAACTAGGTTTTACCCTTTCTGGCAATAAAACAGGTGTTAAAATGTTAAAACGCCAAACAGAAACCTTTTGCAAGGAATCGTGTCTGCATTAACCACACTTACGTTAGGTGAATAGGGTAAAACCTATTCTTATAATTTGATACTGACAAGAAAGCTCCCATATTATCAATATCGTTTGTTTGCATGTTTCATCACAAGCATGCGTGGTAAATGCAGACCTGATGCCTTGCAATAGGTGTCTCTTTGGCGTTTGAACGTTTTAACACCTCCTGCATTCTTGCCGGGGAGGGTAAAGCCTATTATTTGTTCATCGTTTTGATACCGGTGAAACTGGTCCTAGAGATATGAACATTATGAGTGTAAATTAAATGACGGTTAAAGTTTATCCATTATGACAAACATCACCGTTTTGCAGGATTTGCGAGGCCTTGAAACGCTACATTTATTTACAAAGGACAGACTGACTCCTTTAACATATGGAATGTGGAATTGTCAATACTGGACAATGGCTCTGTGTCGCAAAGGTAATTGCTCATTCTGAGTAAAAGGGAGAAGAATGTAAGATCTTTAACGGGACTGCAATTACGTAAGACAAGTTCGCCCGCGCGGTGCATTTGATTCCGGCTGTGAGATAAAGTGGATTAATTCCTTGCACCTGCGCCATGAATAGAACGGCAGAGTACATAATGAGTGCCATGCCACCTGTGCGCGCCGTGCGTGCCGTGATTCGCACAAGCTCGGAACAGAACGATTGGGTCCCGAGGCTTATCGAGTAATGCAGACCGTGTCTCACTGCACCCCAGGCGATAGACGGCGGGGGGGGGGGGTGATGGGGGGTGGCGGGGGGGGGGGGGTGATGGGGGGTGGCGGGGGGGGGTGATGGGGGGTGGCGGGGGGGGGGGGTGATGGGGGGTGGCGGGGTGATGGGGGGTGGCGGGGGGGGGGTGATGGGGGGTGGCGGGGGGGGGGGTGATGGGGGGTGGCGGGGGGGGGGGGTGATGGGGGGTGGCGGGGGGGGTGATGGGGGTGGCGGGGGGGGATAGCGGGTGGGGGGTGATGGGGGGTGGCGGGGGGGGGGGTGATGGGGGTGGCGGGGGGGGGGTAATGGGGGTGGCGGGGGGGGGTGATGGGGGTGGCGGGGGGGGTGATGGGGGTGGCGGGGGGGGTGATGGGGGGTGGCGGGGGGGGTGATGGGGGTGGCGGGGGGGGTGATGGGGGGTGGCGGGGGGGGTGATGGGGGGTGGCGGATGGAGGAGTGATGGGGGGGGGGTGATGGGGGGGTGATGGGGGGTGGCGGGAGGGGTGATGGGGGGTGGCGGTGGGGGGGGTGATCGGGGTGGCGGGAGGGTGATGGGGGGTGGCGGTGGGGGGGGTGATGGGGGGTGGCGGGGGGGGGTGATGGGGGGTGGCGGGGGGTGGCGGGGGGGTGATGGGCGTGGCGGGGGGGTGATGGAGGATGGCGCGGGGTGGGGTTCACATTTTCGTTCCTTTTCAACGCCCCATGCGGTCACTACGCCACTGGGTGTCGGGCAATTGCGGTAGAGCATCTTATTTGTTTGTTAATGGGTTGTTTCACGTGCGAAGAATTGACGTTGAATGTGACACCGAACGATGCAAGGTCGTCGCCTTAATTTCTCAAGCGAAACGGTGATGTCGACATCAGGTGGTGTCGCGCAAAGTTCGGTGAATCGACTTAACTCTGTCGACACGAGTTAATGCGACGCAGAAAAAGCGCATGTGAAAGGGAAGACCCAGTGATGTCTCTATCATCAGCCATGATCTATCCACAGCTGGATGTCTGTTTGTTGAACTTCTTTCGCACCGGACGCCCATCTGAGCTCCTGCTGCGCACGAGTTGACGGGATCGATCAAACATCCACGGTGAATGCCCTCACGGACACGTCCACCCCCACCCCTACTCTGGCGTCAATGACATCGAAGTAGAATATCGACAATAACGAGAGAGTGGCAACACAGGGGAGGCCACCCGCCCGAGAGGACGTTGACCGTGGAGATGGAGCGATAAGATGAGCGCGCGTGCATGCAGGCTGCTGAAGGTGGCTCGCTACATCGCATTGTCGAGATGGTGATGGCTTGGGGAGGAGGGGGAGAGAAGCTGGCATCCAGCGGTGAATAGATCGTGGCTGACGATGAGATAACATTTATTCGTAATAAAGTTTTTTGGGGGTTAGATCCCGTGAGTATAAATGTGTCGTGACCCTCCACCACCCGGCACAGCCAGAAAGTATTTGTCACGTCAACAAAACGTGAGTTACGACTCCAGCCCACGGGGTGTGTTGGAGAGTAAATCCACAACGTTTACATTGCACACAGCCGGAGCGGCGTCGCTGCGTGATGCAAATTTATTCACAGAAAACCAAATCAATCAAAAGTGCGTCTCTATAAATGAGTCGAGGGCACACCGACACTAACCATTGGGTCGATGCGTGCTTTCAAGTGAGACCAGAGACGTGATGAAAAGAGCAAATAAGTATAACCCGTAAAAACAAAGTTTTTCACTATAAATCCTTTATATGCGTGGCGGCTAGAGTCCTCTCGTCCTCTGGCTTGAGATGGCTGCCACCTATGGGTCAGATGATTGCATTGCACCATTAAGCAATTGGTAATTAAATATAATATTTTTGTCCTAAAAAGTGTAAAATTTTGGAAAAAATTTTTCACAAACATTAATTGTCACGCACAACGAGTCTGTGTGCAAAATGTCAGCTCGATTGGATCACGGGAAGTGGGTTAAAAAACGACCGAAAGATTTGCACGGTCGTAAGCAAGCAAGCACGCAAGCAAGCAAGCAAGCGAACTTAATATAAAGGATTAAAAAACGAATCAGAGCCAGCGTGCCAATCCCATGCCTGGCGAAGCGTCTGACCACATTCCCACCGCGCTCATCAGCGCAGGCGTCGTGAAGACGGGTGGGGGGGGGGGACATAGACGCAGTGGCATAGTACAGCACAACGATGCATGTCGCTGCAGTGCCATCTGCTGCCCGCATCGGCCTACGCCGCTTGTGTATCGCGCGCATATTTAACTGGTCGGTAGCGATATCTTTGTATCGCCAATAAAAGTGAATCAATAACCTTGTTTATGACCGCTGTCTCAGACGGAAACAAATAGTATATGTACGGTAACAGACGACGTGGCCGTCGCCTGTATACTGTACATTTTCCCGCATTGGTTCACGGGGTTATTGACGAAGGCTGTTGAGTGGTTTTTGTTGATTAATTGTGCACCACTGCCAACTGCATCGCCACCAAAGTTGTCTTCTTCATTTAACAAGGACCGCTCATCGAGCAATCCACCCTTAACAGCAGTTGACAGACACTGCTATCAGTCACACACACACATACAAAGAACAATTGGCACCACGAGCCGCACTGAATAGTTACTATTCCTCTGGCCCTTCAGCTCTAGTTAGTCACGAGACAGCGTGGGTTCAATTGGGGGGAGGCTGGCTGCACGTTCCTTTCTTTTGACAATTATCACGATTGTGCGGCGTGCTGGGAAACCGAGTCAATCTCCTCCCAGCCTGCCGCCTCTCTACCCCGCAAGGCGACGCGCACGCCGATCCCAACACGCGCACACCGCCTCCTCATTCATCCTCCTCCTCATTCCTCCTCCTCCTCATTCCTCCTCGCTAATGATGACGACGTCACGCTCCCAGCTCGAGTGGAACACACACACACACACCGGGCTGATTGAACACACACACACACCGGGCTGATTGAACACACACACACACCGGGCTGATTGAACACACACACACCGGGCTGATTGAACACACACACACACACCGGGCTGATTGAACACACACACACACCGGGTTGATTGAACACACACACACACCGGGCTGATTGAACACACACCGGGGTGATGAACACACACTCACACACCGGGGTGATAAACACACACACGCGCCCCGGGCTGATTGAACAACAGCACACGGAACCTCCCACTTAGTGGCTGGACGCAAAAGGTGGGTGGAGGTAGGTGGAGGTGGGTGGAGGTGGGTGGAGGGGACGTGGGGGGTGGGTGGAGGGGACGTGGGGGGTGGGTGGAGGGGACGTGGGGGGTGGGTGGAGGGGACGTGGGGGGTGGGTGGAGGGGACGTGGGGGGTGGGTGGAGGGGACGTGGGGGGTGGGTGGAGGGGACGTGGGGGGTGGGTGGAGGGGACGTGGGGGTGGGTGGAGGGGACGTGGGGGCTGGGTGGAGGGGACGTGGGGGTGGGCGATTGGTGAGGGTGGGGGCGGAGGTGCGGGCTGGAGTAGAATTTAAAAGTGAGAATCTTTGGGGCTGGGCTGGGAGGAATAACCGGATCGACGGATATATCACCGGTACGACCGGCCGGTCGCAGGCTTGTTCATAATAGAACGCGACGTCGCGAACGGCAAACTTAAAAAATAAGAATTGCCTTGGCTGCGTCGAAAGCAATAATCGAGGCTTCACCATCTCCGCTTGTCTGGTTAAACAAAAACAAGCAACCCATAGTTATTTGTAGGGCTGTCTCTCTAAAGTGACCTTGATAGTACGTTCTGTGGATACTGTACTTATTTTGTAACTTGCTGTGGGGCTGTTGCCGAGCACCACGATCACACACGCGCACCGCAGACTCATTTGGCAGGCGTGGTTTGGAGGCTGCCGTGGGGTTTATTGTAGTTTGCAAGTTCATTGTTGCTTGTCCGGCGGTCGAGAAGGAAAAGGCGATGGCTGGAGGTGGGAGTTTGACTGCGGGCACGGGAGCCCTCCTGCCTTTGGGAGCTGAACTGTTCAGGACGCTGTCGGGTCTGCTTATCGTCGCGGAAATGGTGAGTTTCTCACGGCTGTCTGGCTGGCATCTCCCTCTGTCCGTTTTTTGTGCCGTCTCAATCGTTCTCGCTCTCTCGCTCTCTCTGCTCGGCGCGTGTCTCTCATTGGGGGGAGGGAGGGAGGCGAGAACGCGCGCACGAATCTCTAGAAGCGAGAATTTCGCTTCTACGTTGCGCTCCCCGAATCGCGCCAACCGCAAAACTGCGTAATCTCAGCGATGTCGCAGTGAAATGTTGCTTTAGTCGAAGTTATGCGCGTATAGAGGCTGTAGTAGTGCAAGTGATGTGTGCTGGGATTGGTGCAGGGAGGCTGCCGATGCGCGACGAACACCACCACCAGAGTTAGATTCTGCGCCACGGCTAATTGTCAGTCGCGATCGCTGTATGCGAACCGGTCTCGGGCACCACCTCCCCAGGTGGCAAGGTTTGACTATGCCCTTAAAATGAATACGAGTGCGATATGGGCACTTGGGAGGGATTAAAGACGATCGGGCATGGTGCTGGCTACACTACCCCTACAGTGCGCCGTGCCGGCCTTTTAGTTGGTGACGAATGGCTCTTGTAGGTTCTAACGAGGTGGCCAGAAGAATGCAGTACAGCAAGTGGGTTGGTATTCTGTGTAGATGAGATTTAATGACAAGATGCTACCTCCCCTGTAGGGAGTATTCATTTGCAAAGCATGACAATGTCCTTCCATAATCCTACTCTTAACCGGGGTTGTTCAACGACAACTGCTAAACCGGTAACCGTTTTCATGACCCGGTAAAATATCTCCAGTGAAAATTGTGGTACTGAGTGGTATACAGATCGGCACGCCTGACCACACAAACCTCGCCGCGGCCGCGTGGTGCAATTTCCCTCCGTTCTCGCTTAAAAGGTAAAGTTCTAACCCAAAACCTCTGAGGGATCGATATACTCTTTGGTTCTTTCGGTAAGGTCACGTGACGGTCGCTTGTTGTTGCAATCGAAACTTCGTGATCTATTATTTTTTTTATACCTACGTGACTTTACCGAAAGAACCAACGAGTGAATTCCTGCAGTCACGAAAGCTTCAAATTAAGATTGGAGGGATCTACTTTTTTAGGGTATTTTGTCTACTCTTCCACGCCGACCAGACGCATTGGAAGAGGTGAACATACCAACGCTTTACCCCACTGCACTAACAGTGATGTGTCCACTTGTACTGCTGGGTTAGATGAACGTTCACCATTGGTTCACCTGGGATTGAACCGAGTTCCTCTGGATTGCAGGCCCTCCATTGCACCACTATCACCTTCGGTTTAGAATGTTATATAAATGTATAGCATTAACATTTTTAAATGTGGCCAGCTAGTTACAGGTAATGTTAAACTAATTTTAACAACCCTAGTCTTAACTGTTAATATTTACAGGCTATGCATTTTATTTAAATGCAGGATGAGGCATACGACGACACTTCCTAATACTTTATGTAAATATTACTTCCTAAATTCTGCCGGGTACTGAACGCATTCCAAACCTGACCATAGTGTCGACTTGGTGCATCTCCAGCGCCGTTTTTAAAATAATTACCACTTTGTGGGAAATCGCCGGTGGTCGTTTCACATGTAGACTTTGTCCCCTAACATAGGAATGTGGAATTTCCATCACGTTAATTTCCAAACGTTCATTTTGAGCATAGATGCCTAGGCGTCCTGGGTCCTTAAACCGTAATTTTATTATAATCTACGTATCGAGTCGATCTTGCCTGGTTGTAAGTGGTGTATATTCTAACTAAACTTTTAGAGGGGGCTAGAAAGTGTAAATTCCATTCTATTAATACAGTACGAGGTGGAAGGGACCATAACATCAAAGCCCCCATAATTACAGGCCAGAGGTAGATTGATTTCACGCCTAAGGTTGGGGCTGCCTAAAGTTATAAACATTTAACAATTACGTTTTGCTGCACACTTTACATCTACTGCTTGCTTCCTATTACCCGTGAACCAAGCGATTTGCCTCCCGCGTGAACATGTCACCTTGGACTGGTTCCTTGAGGTTTGAGTTATCTGATGGCAGAAAGAAAAAAAAGATCCAGTCACTGCCGCAACTGGATGGTCCGTGTTTTTGAAGCGATTCTAACACGTCTGTCTCCATTGTGCTGTAACAGTGCATATTTGCTAGATGTCAAAGGGTAGTAAAATGACTAGCCTACATCGCAGCCTGCAATGTAAAGTGACACGGGGAAGGTCTTTGGACTAATTTTAAGCAAATCATAACTTGTCCCAAACATGTTTTTGTCAACGGTTAACTGGAACCAAGCCTTTAAAATGCATATTGAACCATGAAACGGTTCAAATGGTTTTCGGTGCACCCATACCGCACCTGAAATCCAATCGGTAAATTTCCCTGCTCCCACATCTATGCTGCTCCCCTTCACACTTAACCTGCACTGCCCGGCATGGTGTGAAGCATGGTCAAAATCCCAGACAACTTTGGGAAGCAAACATCCAGTACGGCAGTGGAGTGATTAATAAGTTTAACCCGTAAAAACAAAGTTTTTCACTATAAATCCTTTATATGCGTGGCGGCTAGAGTCCTCTCGTCCTCTGGCTTGAGATGGCTGCCACCTATGGGTCAGATGATTGCATTGCACCATTAAGCAATTGGTGATTAAATATAATTTTTTTGTCCTAAAAAGTGTAAAATTTTGGAAAACAATTTTCACGAACGTTAATTGTCACGCACAACGAGTCTGTGTGGAAAATGTCAGCTCGATTGGATCACGGGAAGTGGGTTAAAAAACGACCGAAAGATTTGCACGGTCCTAAGCAAGCAAGCGAACTTAATATAAAGGATTTTAAAAAGGGCTCCGCATATTCAAGTGAATACATTGCAAATAATGGGCAGCACTGGTTGTTACTGTGTGCCTTTTTAAATTGTTGATGTGGTGTGTTTCCGGTGATTTACAACCACACGCATGAGCCTGAGGAAGTCTGAATGGGTGGATCTCGTAGGAAGTCCAGTGTCCCACCCCCAAGCACCACCTCCAATACCCATTGATTCTATATTACTCCCACACCGTAGCAATGCGGGCAACGCAGCTGGTATTTCCCAACCCCAGTCCTGCCCTTGATCATGGGTGGGATGATGCAAGCGGTACAATCGCAGACCTTTCCGCACTTTGGTACAATCATTGGTGTACACGTGTCAATTTCCTCACCACACCTAATGTAGTTAATTGTTGGTCAAGGCAGCATAGTTTCAGGAGCATAGAAGTACGGTACAATAATGTATTTGGCTGTGCTCCCATTCTGCTATCCGCCAAGTATCCTCACAGCCCATAACAACAACAACCTGTTTGTCTGGTGGTCGCACATCGGAGCGCTATACAGGCTCAATCCAGCTTAATCTTAGAGGTTTGCCGAGGTGGGCCGCATGCAGGGTCATTTGATGGGCAGTCATTTGTATAATTAACGGAATGGGCAGGCCCAGTTCCATTTAAATTGAACAAGCTCTCATTCCAAATTTCAAAAGCACTCTTAATATTTGCGGGTGTAATTCTTTTAAAGGCAATTTACTGTTGCTGTGTTTTGGTTACTATTATTTATTTAGAGATAGGTCAATGGTCGATTGTGGTATTTTATGAGCATTCCTCATTGTTAAAATTGGTGGACAAATTATTTCCATCTCAATGACTGTCCTAATTGGTTGACTAATTGCAGCATGCCCAAATAAAAATCCAGTTCCTGGTTATGATGACCAACATTATTTAAAGTGTCTGAAAGTGCCTTGTGATTTTTATCCGAAAGCCCTGTCCAATGAGTAGAACCGATTGCCTTTTGTATTGGAAACTAGTACAGTAGTTAAATGACAGAAGTTATTCAACCGATACATTGACATTGGGATGATATGGTTGTGTTGCTATGCTTCCACAGTTGGTTTAATGCCAAACATTGGTCGGATGCACCTTCATGTCCTGTGTTCAGTCGGGTCATGTTATTTTATTTTAACCTACTTGTGATCATTCTGCTTCCAACTTGATCATTTCAATGGGTAGCCTCTTGCGCACACACCCCTCGTTTAATCATCAAGGCAATGGTATACCGGCACAACTTTTTAGAAAAATAATTGTCTCGTACTCTTTGGTTCTTTCGGTAAAGAATGTATGGTGTCTCGTGTTTGTGGAAAATGTCATTGCCGAAATCTGGATGCGTTGTATCGCAGGCGGAGGTCCCGTAACTTCCCAAATTGTTATACTTGGTGGACCAATCATTGGTCATAAACTCACATTTGAGCAAACTCTGGTTTAATTGGATACAGTATATAAAACTCTTATCACCCCATGCCATTTGCCGTACCGAGTTTCCATAGTTGCTAATAGCAAATGTGGTGCTGGTGACAATTGCGAGCAAAGTGAGCACCCATTTAATGCCAACACTGCACACTTGTGATTAGTATTAGAGGATGCATGTATATACTGTGCACATATGTAAACGTGCTTGTGTGAATAAGATCTGTGCAGTATTGGATAACGTCTGTACCATAGCAGGATGCTCATTAAATAGCTTGGCAGCTCATTGGGCCCTTTCTGTGGAAATAAATACCATCTATGAATTGTCCTAGTGTACCGCTACCTCAGATGTTTTCAGTTGCACAGTGATGTTTTGCATAAGGGACTCGGTTTTTTCCACTCGCTGGGAAATCTTTTTGAAAGTGACACATCGGATATCGTGCCGAACAACGCACAGCAGGAAAACTCATCGCAGAACTGTACGGCAACCACTGCAAAAAAACCTACGTGGTTGTGGACACTTAAATGTGATAAACTAATAGACAGTGTGCCTGTGATCAACGCAGTGCTGTAGTGTGGCTGTGCGTGCGCACCAGTTGAGAAATGCATCCGTTGCAAGAGCGTCTGGTTGCTGGAGCCGTTCACAGATCTCTTCCCGTGCAAGTTGGAGCTGCTTTTTGGCATGCGACGTCGAATGCCCTTTTTTGAGTGCAGAATGCAGAAAATGTGGTTTCAAAACCGCGTGGTGCTTTGGTAGGGGCAGGTCCAGTTTGCACAAGTTAACACTTGTGCTGCAAATGCATCGGTACTTGAAAGACCTTTATCGGTAAATGGAAAATCCGTGGTGGTTGGTTAATGTGTGTCCCATGAAAAAGTGGCCAAGTTTGCTTGCGTGTTGATGTGAATGAGTTCTGTGTTGGCTGACAAAAAAACCCACATCCGTGATTTTGTTTGGAAACCTGACTCTGGTCACCTGGCAAGAAGAATTGCTCGTTCAGATCTCACTCACCACGGATGTTGGTCATAGCCGGGAATTGAACGTGATTTTCAAAACGCAGTGGATAAGCATGGCACACCCCCCCCCCCCCCACCATGCCCTACCTATTGATCGACATTTGTGGTAGAGAGCAGAAAGATAGAATACAGCCATGGCCCATAATGGCAGTTAATTGCAATCGATTTTTTAAATGTGCGATTGGAGGTCTTGGTGTTCGATGTGGTGATGGAGTTGTGTGCTCTGTTTGTACTGACGATAGGATGATAATTTAATTACTTTCTCCCAGCATCTTATTGGTTCTTTCGGTAAAGTCACGTAGAAGGGAAGTAATAAAATAATAAAAATAAAACATAATAAAATAATTCTCACGACGTTTCGGCCACAACGCAAGCAGCCGTCTTCAGGTGGAGAACAGGTCTGTCACGTAGACAGAGTCTGAATGGCACGCTCCAGGCTTGGAGCGACTATTTAAGCTGGGAAGGAGGGGCGAAGAGCGTCTTGACAAAATAATTTGCATATCAAGAGGAATTTAGCATATTTATGGGAAATGCAGGTATGCGATTAGTACTAGTGAAATGCGTAGGAGGTGGGCGAGGTGTTTTATTTTTATTATTTTATTACTTCCCTTCTACGTGACTTTACCGAAAGAACCAAGAAGATGAATCCCTGCAGTCAAAGCTTTTAAATCGAAATTTCTCCCAGTTGTTTAAATGAGAACCACCTCCTTATTTGAAGACATTGGAAGTTCGATCCAGTGGCTGCCCTTGTTCGTACTGCGAGTGTGCTAACCATTCGTGAGCTTCTTGCAACTTGCTTTCACAGGGGACGTAAACAAAATTCGGCTTTGTCATTCGCGACGGACGACCATCTCTTGTTCCGGCATCCTGGTCATAATTTTAGACGTTGCCCATAATTTGCAATGCTCGATTGTACTATGCAATATTTTGCCCCCTTGTGCGAAAACTTGGCAGAACCTTCCTGAAAGTCGGGCTCGGTGAGGCACTTCTGGTGTAAACAACCATAACAATAAAACAAAACTCATTATCCCTCGTGTGGGCACCGAAACTGTACATGTGGTGCCAAAATAAACCTGTAAATATCACATGACTGAAACCTTGTGCTTGTGGTGCAAGCCACACCTAGCCATACAAGTTTACAGCCAAGGATTATGCAAGCAGATAGCGCTGAGATGTTTAATACAATCCATACATGTCAATCCACTGCTGGATGAATGCCTCCATGCCGTGTTGGTCACAAGGGTTATTTGACTATTGGTTATTTTACCATACTCCATCACCCTGGCCTCTGCGTGTAGAAGGGGGATGAGGCCCCAATACCCGTTGAGGTGACACTTGTCAATGGTTAACTGTTAACACTCAAACCTCGGGTGTCTTGGTTCATAGTGGAGTGTGCTAACCAATAGACTTCCTCTTTTACCCCAATCAATCCAAATGTTTCCTTCAACGTTCTCTATCCAAGAGTTCTTGGTCTCTTGCACAATACAGTATTTACTCTGCAAGGAATTTTTTTAGTGTGGTTATTATCTGTCACTTGTCTTTGCCCTTTGGCCATGTGAAACGATGTGTCCACGTTGCATTCGGTGTGGTTTCGTGCCCTGTGTTCAACCGTGGACTTGCATTTATATTTGGGTGGAATGGTGACCAAGTTGTTTTCGCACAGCATTATGAACCCTAACAATCTGACTTCAATTCCTGGCCTTTGATAACACAAGTAGTGAAGGTGATAGTTGGAATCGTTCCTGCGTTCCCCTATCTTTGCCAACCTGTATTTACTAGGGTGGTGAAGCATGATAACAAAAACACCCCTATGACCTTCATTCATTGGTTGATTGAAAAATATCAGGAATTTACTAAACATTTTCCAGGAATTCTGCCATGGTGTTAATGGTTATTACACTGGACTTGTAATCTAGAAGTCACCAATTTGATCTCCCAGCACAATGGTTTGAAATTGGTCCACGTTTCTTAAACTGCCCTGTCTCCAAGTAGTAATAAATGGGTACATCACAGTTGACTCATCGGCAGAATAGATGTAACTACCGCCTCCAAGATTTTTGGCCAGCACAGAATAGGCCAAATGCCCCCTAGAGCAGATCAACAACTCAATTTAATGGGAGGCCTTTTTACTTTCACTAAAAAAAAAAATCCTACACGGCGCATGCCTTTTTTTAAATTAATGGTTCCTGAGGAGTCGCCCTTGAGTATGGTGGTGTGCCATGCACGGCCCTATCCAGCCTCGTTGATCAAACAAGATCTGTTGCGTTCCAGGAGATTTTGATCATGACTCGTTTCTTTTCACAAGTGGCAGTGTAACTATAGTCATGTCCGTATGATATAAGAATAGGTTTTCCCCTTTTTTCCTGGCACCAAAACAGGTGTCAAGATGTTAAAATACCAAACTGAAACCTTTTTGCAAGGAATCGTGTCTGCATTAACCACAATACTTGTGGTGAAAATACCGTAGGATGTTAACTAAAACATTGAGACTGTGCATCCCTCTATTGCACTGTAATAAGATCAGTCGCAAAAGCTACAGTCATGGTGGTGCAATGCCCCTCAGTTCCTTCTCCATGATTTGAGACCTGATGCATTGTTTGGATTTGAGAACTTAATTCCTTGCAACTTAAGGATAGCCGTGTATATTGTGCCAATCATCTATTTGTACAAATGAAAGATGGCCCTTGGCTTGTGGTGTTTCAAAAGTTATTGCTCTATCATAAAGAGATGCGTGTCTTCTAAAATGCCACCCGTGACATTTCTCCCCTTCTGAAATCCTAATAATAATAATGCACTCTTTCAGTTTGTAAATGTTGTGTGCTGTACTAGTGACGAATTGGCATGTTCTGTTTACGTGACAACCCTTACTAAGTTGGCCTTGTCTGGTTGTGGCGGGTTTTAATGACACATATTTACGCAATCTAACCCAAAAAACGCTGGATGATATTGGTCGCGAAAGCCTACGTGTTTAAACTCTTTCAGAGTCCTACATTGGGATATTTGGTCAATTCCTTGGAGGTAAATGGCACAGACACCGAGGTGACTGGAGAAACCCCACGCGTATTGGGGGGAGTCTCCTCAAAAGCATCTCTCTTTTTAAATTTGCATTCCATTGCTGTACCGTTGTGTGGCCAGTGTGCAGCTCAAGGCTAAAATACTCTCTCTATTGCTGTGTTTTTTCCAGACTGGCTTCCAATTCAAGTACTAGCCCGGCTTAAACCTGCTCCTGTTCTGACATCTGAAATCAGGGTCACACGCACGATAGTCCTAGGAAGTGATGCATGGGTACATTTTGTGAAAATCCAATGTCCACTTTTGCAGCATTTAGGAGTGGCCATGGGCAGAGAGAGAGCGTGTGACTGGGGATTTTATCTCGTGATGAAATTTGCCTTGCGTTGTGACCCTAGAGAAAAATGCGATTTGTTTTTTAAGTAACTCACGGTGATTTTATTTCGCAATTATTACTAGCTTGACTGGACATCCGCGTCATCTGTTCTGTTAATGTCCTTTCCATCATAAGCCATAATAAATTAACTGTTGGATGAAGTGATCGATTGACAAAGGGATGCAAGTCATTGTTGGACTATCACGTGTGGCCTGGGATTCCTGTAATTCTAAGTGGAATTAGCTATCAATCCTGTTTCCATATAAAGTTATTAGCCTGATATTTTGCCATTCTATTACATCTACTTTCATAGTAGTTTTACAAAACAGCCATACTCCTAAAAAGTAATTCTGATGACCACTTAGTTTGAAATGTAGTTTTGTTCTGTAACTGTCGATTTTGTTCGCAGGTCTTTGGTGGTCTCGTGTGGATTCTGGTGGCCTCCACAAACCTAAAGGGCACCGATCTGAGCCAGGGATGGGTCATGTTCGTCTCCGTTACATTCTTTGTCTTCACCATTGTCCAGTTTGTGCTCTACATAATCTCCATGCCCAGCCAGACAGCAGGATGGGTCTCTCTGGTAAGTTTCGTATGCCTGAAGGCACACAACACCCACACTGTCACGAAGGCATACAGCTCCTGATTTTCTGGCCTTATCAGACCTCTGAATCTCACTCAAGGTTGGGGGGGGGGGTTAATCTTGTTCGTCATTTTTTGCTCCAGGTCGTCTAGCTCTGCGTGGGCACTGCTGTGCTTCTGTAGTTGTAAAACAGCCTGGTGCCTCCCTGAGCTGCACTGGGCTGACTTTCCCACAACTCTGGTGCGGCTTTGTATCGTAGCAGAGAGGCCTAAGAGGCCACATTTACACAATGTTTGAGCTAAGGAACATAATCTAAACCCACTTAAATGGGGTGAAAATGGCCCAACAGTTGGGCCACTTGCATTAGAGTTTCCACCTGTTTGTGGCTTGTCTACATGTTGCTTAATTGGATCACTTGGTATTTATAGTTTTTGCTTTATTTGAGAAGTAAAATAAACTTTGGGTTTAGGACGATTTAACACATGGCACTTTGGCATATTTTTATTTAACGTGTTTGCTTTAGTGCAATAGTTGACTCTCCACTACTCTATGGCTGTCCAAACTATGATAACGGATATTGTTTTTGATACCTGCGGTTGTTCATGCATTGACATAAATGGGGAGTAGTGGTCGGCGCACGGCGACCTGTGTTTTATTCTCTATGGCCAATATCTGAACTGCTCCTAGGCCTTTAATGACTTCGAATCGACCTTCGAAGACACACCTGGTGTGGAAACTTCACACCAGGTTGTCATTCTGGCCATACCACCCCCTGCGTGCACTGCCAGCCTTCTTAGGTGCTTGCTAATAGCACCTGCCCGAACCGCCTGCAAAACCTAGACTGGAAGTCTTTGTCTTTGTGTATATTGACGTAATATTTGTAACAATCTCTGGCTGTGTAACCATAAAACGTGCTGTTGTGTGTGGTTTTTGATCATCAGCATGCCTGGTTCAACTTGGCAGCGTTCATCCTGTACCTGAGCGCCGCTGTGCTACAGGCCAATGTCACCGCATGCACCCAGCAGCAGTGCTGGCTGATGTACTCTGGGCAGTCGCCGTCCGCTGCTGCCACCACCACCATGGCACCCAGCACAGTGTCCACGGTGACCCAGAACATGTCCACGGTGAACCAGAACATGTCCACGGTGACCCAGACTGCGACCCCTTTTCCGAACTCCTCGGTCACGGGCTCCTTTGTGCCCACGTCGAGTTTGACGCCTGTCACCTCGTCTTCCCCCGGCAGCCCCACAGCAAGCCGCACTCTTTCGTCGACCCTCGCAACGAGCGTGTCGAGCAGTGTCTCGACAACTACAGTTATGGCCTCTATGACAACTACGTCACCTACGTCTAAATCTGCTGGTCGCAAGCGCCGTGAAGTTCCCGAGCCAAGCTACTTGGGGTATCCCAATGCCCAGCTGATCCGGCTGCTGATAAGATTGGTGCGGGAGCGGAGCGTGCGTGCCAATGAGTCCTCTACGATGGCCATGCCGATGACGAACACGAGCTCCGTCGTGACCACCAAGAGTCCCACCGACAACGACACGTACCGCATAAACGTGGCGGCGACGGTAATGAGCATGCATAGTAACAGTAGATTAACAATAACGCGAGTTTGTAGACTTTTTGGATCCGCTGCTGGGTGAAGACCTCTCTACCATATCAGTTATGGGTGACGTTTCACCCATACTCCACAGCGTGTTTAGTGTGAGGATGGTGAAAGTAGTAAATTGGTTTTATAATTTGATTGTGCTTGTCTTATCCAGAAAAGGTTCCGGGAGTCTCGGTACCACCTTTTTAAAGAAGTAATGTCCTGCCAATGTTTCTTTGTAATCCCCAATTAAATAGTTTGTGCGTAATTTTTCAACATTGGGATGTTTGACCGATACCAGTTGCATTCTATTTTGAGCGGAAACTGGAAACGCCGGAGGAAACCCATGCAGAACATGGAGATAAATGCAAGTTTCTACACACACGCACCAGAGTTGGTAATTGGAACCCAGAACGTTCTTGCTGTGAGGCACAAGTGTTCCGACTGCGCCACCCTGCGGCCAGTTGAAATAATTCGCCACTCAACCGTGGCCAGGACATTTGAATACATTTCCAACACGCTGGTCAATGGGGGTTTAGTGCAGAGGGCTGGTCCAAGATCGGTTCCAATATCCCTCTCCACTCGGCTATGGCCTGGAATCGAACTTGGGTTGCTGGGTTCGTAATGCAGTGGGCTAACCACTGCGACACCACTCCACCTAAAAACAAACACCGTACAGTAGAGTAACTGCTTTTGACGTTCACATTGCTCACTGCTCGGCACCTGCTCATCACAACACTCGGTATAATGTGTCTTTACAACTGCATTATACTCTAGAGCTGCAACATTCGTATAGACGGGCACCACGGTAATAATGTTAACTGATTTAGCCTTGTATACAGGTGATTTTGTTGCGGGTTTGGTCCCGACCCTGACGCCTTTATATTTAAAGTTTGCATGTTCTTCCTGGTGAGGTCTTGTGGATTTTTCTCAGGGTCCTCCGTTTTTCCCCTCCACATTGAGAAGCATGCGTTTGAGAGTATTTGGTTGTGATACATTTCCACAAGCTGCCACTTTGAGCTACCATTTATGGCCAGGTCTCTTCTAAAACAGAGCTACGTAGCTCGATAGGCCTTGTTAAATAAAAGGTGTTTCTAAGTTTAGATTTTAAGTAAACTGACTTAATCGGTTATTGCCAGGGTTTCATTTCAAGCGAGGCTGTCCCAGGTTGGCGACATGAATAATGCTCTTCACTTGGCACGCCACATCTGGTATGCCCCTCTGGCTGTGGATACCAAGTCATGTGCCTACTCCAGTCTACCTGTGGCCTTGGACAAATATTTGAAATAAAATCCTGGTTAACGTCTAGATTTACTGAACTAAAAATGGCCATACAACGTGGTTTTTATTTGCATAACTAAACCTCTGGCCCAGAGTATCCCAATGGTGCTGAATCCAACAGAGGTGGACTGGGATTGAAGATGACGTCCCTCATTATCACCGTGGCACACTCTGCGTTTCAAGCATTTTGCAATCCCACTGCCCTGTCTGCTATTTTAAAACGGCCAGAGTTTTTAATTGATTACCTTTTTATTTTTCGACATTCAATTAATCGACAATTGATACATTCAAAACGCATTGTGTACTGTCGTGTCAATTCGCCTGGCCAGGTGTTGCTGTAAACACATTAAAGGCATACTCTTTGGTTCTTTCGGTAAAGTCTCGTAGGTAGAAAAATAATAGATTACACCGTTTCAATCGAACCGATCGAAAACGTGAGTGGATTCCTGCAGTCACAAAAGCTTCAAATCAAGACATTAAATGCAGGCAAAAGCTGAATTGAATTGGTCCATATGCGGCAATGGGGAATAGGGCAAACTATGTGGGCAGCACACAAGGTAACCAGGGTTGAGACGTAATTATAACCCTGCCCGTGACCAAAGCACGTCAAAGGGGAATGTACAGGACCTCATTCCTCCACCTGCATAGCATCGCCTCCGTCCACCATTATTCCAGTGACAAGGCAAAGATGAGCGAACTTTGGCACGTGGGTTGGAACCATTGGACTGACATTGGCCCAACGTTCCATGGTTAACTGGGTTGTTACCCCATCCGTACCTTCATCAATAATCACATTATCAACTACGGGTATCCCTCTATTTCTGAACATTATGTTAATGAAATGTCCCTTAAACCTATTGAACAAATTATTATGGACACTTTTCGATAACTAAAAATTTAGTTTCCACGTGAACGAAATTTCACACGGCATTCGCTATGAGATCGTCAAGCAAGAAGCACCTGGGAGGGTTTGTCATCCATCCGCGAAAGCGTCCGTGTCCCTTCAGTGCCACCAGTCACGCCTGCACATCGCCTTCCCGATCATTCCCACATGCGCAGATCTTTAGGGGTTCCCGGAAAAGCTAAAACGAACATTATTTATCATTCGATCGTTTAAATCTATGTTCTTTTGCATTATGAAAAGTGCTAGGTGTGTTTTTTTAGGTTTGGCGTGGAGTTGCATTTACTCCCTTTTGAACCGTAACTATTTTTTATGACGCTGCATTTTAAATATAGTACATGATTGTGTTCCGACTTGCGAAACGAATCTCGGAAACTGAACCCGTTGGTAAGTCTGTGGACTGCCCGTATTGCCGAGGGTGAGGACGTTTGTGGTCGCCTCTAGGGGGCACTCTGCACCCAGATTCTATAAGCAAAAGTCTTTGACGGCTATGGGTGACGCGTTCAATGGCAGGGGCGTGACCACTTTTTTTTAAAACCCAGAGGCCACCATGCATCGATGCTGCTGTTGGCTTCCCTGTCCAGAGCGCACGTGGAGAATTTCACGCAACTCGAGTCATTTTAACAAAGTCGGCATATCGATTCATCTTTGACGAGGAATTCATCTTGAGCATTCTGTGATTTGCAAGAACCCCCTTTGTTCCACTAGTTTACAGCAGGTGCGTGTTTGTCACGAGTTGTATATCTTTATTGACACGGCACGAAGTTTTGGGTGCGGCTTCTCAGTCTTATCTAGAGAATGGTAATTTCCTCCCAAGGTGAAATATATCTGCTGTAAACATGATTTATTTTAAACAATACATTGAAACCTTGACTCAAAGCTTTCGTGACTACAGGAATTCATACTCTTTGGGTCTTTACCGAAAGACCCAAAGAGTAATACATCGAAAGTGTTCTACAAATGTTAACTTTGGACATTTCCACGACCTTGGACATGCGAGGCATATTAATTAGGAAGAAATTCGTACACCTCTCCTAGATGAAGGAGAAATGCTCAAAATACTGCCAGACGTACTCTGAAGAACGTTTCATCTACTGTGATGTTGTATTTAGTAATAAGTTTAATTCCCAGATACGACTGACTGCTGACAAATTCTAATATAGTTGAGTCTACCCTCTTCTCTAAATCTGCACTGACCAGCGAGGTAAATTTCGATTTAAAGCTTTCGTGACTGCAGGGATTCATATTCTTGGTTCTTTCGGTAAAGTCACGTAGAAGGGAAGTAATAAAATAATAAAAATAAAACATAATAAAATAATTCTCACGACGTTTCGGCTACAACGCAAGCAGCCGTCTTCAGGTGAAGAATGAGACACTGCCAAGCTTGGAGCTTGTATATAAGCTGGGTTGGAAGTGGAAGAAGAGCGCCTTAACAAAAGATATGCACATTCTTTTGTTAAGGCGCTCTTCTTCCACCTCCAACCCAGCTTATATATAAGCTCCAAGCTTGGCAGTGTTTCATTCTTCACCTGAAGACGGCTGCTTGTGTTGTAGCCGAAACGTCGTGAGAATTATTTTATTATGTTTTATTTTTATTATTTTATTACTTACCTTCTACGTGACTTTACCGAAAGAACCAAGAACAGCGAGGTAAGTAGTCTAACACCTGCCCCACCCTCCCATGACTAACACAGCATGGAGAGGCCTTCATCCATTGGTGAACTTGTAATGACCTGGAATATTTATTTTAAAATATACTGTGCTTGCATTCAATAGACCCCCCCCCCCCATATGTGCTTTTATATAATTCTGAAAATGACAAGTTTCCTACTTTGTGGACCTGCCTGGCACTCGTTGGCATGTCAATAACCGATCCACTGTTTCTCTTTCCAGGTCTTCAGTTACCTCACAACCTTTTGCTACGCGATAAATGCCTACGTTGGAATGGGCATGTGGAAGGACCACTAGCGAATAAGAATTTTCCCCGAAGTCGTGGTGAAGAATGAAAAACAAGCCGCCTTTTGTCATTGTTGTTTAAAACATATTCATTTGGTTTCTTGGCAACATGGTAGTGTTACAAGCAAGGGGGCCCATCACAGTAACTTTTGCAGTGTGCAGCATAGCAACATTCGTAGACGACACTCCTACCATGTTACCTTGCCATTTTAAGCAGTTATGACAACTGAAAGAGGCAGCTAGGGAACTTAACAACAGGAACATTCTCGACTGAGGTAGATCCTATAGGTCCAACAGATGGACTTCTGCGGTACAGTCTGTTTTTATTTTTACAAGACCAGTAATATTAATAATAATATATAGTTATTTATCTTGGAAACCATGAACGCCCTATTCTCCAGATTTATAGCAATCAACTTTTTTTTTCCCCACCCTGTATATTGAAGGAAAAGTTGGGTGTGTGACGACATTTGTGCTCTGAATAAAATTATAAGTTTTGGATACATCTTTATGTGTAGGGTCTAATCTGCAGAATATGGTGATTATTAAGACATTTGCAGGGATTATTTTACTTAATGTTTGGACGTTACAAAGCAAGCTGAGAGCTGATTTTATGGTCCAAATTGCAATTCCCAGTAATTTCAAACTAATAATTGTTCCGCGATGGTTTGGGGTGGATAATCTGTTAACTATATCGGTATACATAACATTGCAAAGTAATGCACAGAGCGGATACTATTAATTGACAAATATTGTTTTAAAAGTAAATGGAGTTGCGCACGAGTGAAATACATTCGTAATGTTGCTGCTTCCAAACGTCAATCTGTCCTGGAGCCCTTAATCCCTTTTTGTAGTCAATTGTGTAGAATACTTTGTCATGTATCTCTGCAGGCATCTCTTACTTCCAAAACAATTTGGCCGACCTTTTTGCCTAAACCTTTATCTTGCACGCAGGATTAGTTGCAGCATTACCACACCCTCATTAGTAAACGCACTACATTCCACAAATACTTTTTTTAAATAAGTTTGTACAAGGCCGAACATGTGGTTTACCTGGTGCTTTGTGAAATCCTTTTTCAATTCGTTAGCAGTGGGTTTCAGTTGTCCCCCAAGAAGCTTCAAATACAATTGTTAGGTGTCAAATGAAATTAAACGCGTCATCTGTTCTTCAATGCTATACAAATTTGGGTGCTATACCGAACTTTGTGCGGGGGGTGCCTTTGTCTATATTTTAAATATGTTTCTCCTGCCGTCTGTACCGTTTTTCATGATTTTTTTTCAAATAATAAATGGTTTGATACAGCTTCTCCCTTAACATGTGCTGTTTTTTGAGTAACGTAGCTCCTTTGTCACACTGACCACAATAGAGTTTGGACATCTCTTTTCCGGCATTCCATTACCTAGTTGTAATGTGTCGTATCTTCTGGAACTTGAATTGACGAAATGGATACACGTAAAAAGATCTAAGCAATAAAATCTGCTGCATTCCTCAACATTGATTTTATGCCCTTAATTAGAGGAGGTGCTGCTGTCCAAAAGCAGACGACTATTTCCGGGGCTCATGTTTCCAATCTCCTCTTCGTGAAATGTCGACATGAGACTAGTGAGACAACAGAATACATTAACTGTCTTTATCTTAATTTGCTCCCATTTTTAGAAATTTAACTTGTTGCTGAAATTTACACTTTATTTAAATATGGGGTCCCTTGAGCCATTTTGGGGCCCTAAGCGGTTTGTCTTTTGAAATTATTTTGTGCCCTACATAGCCAACCGTGCCATCACTCCCAGATGAATGGGCCTCATGTCATCTCTGCGCTTATGACATCACACGCATACTTATTGGAGTTATTTTCCGGGTGTAGTCCCTCACTGGCTTCCTCTGGTGTCTGCAGTGAACGGTATATATTAAGTATACTGCATGTTTTTTTTAAAATCTGGCAACCGACAGATTACCTTCACCCAGAGGAGTTGCGTGGTGTTCACTTGATGGGTCCTCTCTGCTCCTTGCTACCCGGTTGCTGAATTGTAAAAAGAAATTGCACCTTTTGGCTGTTTTTTTTGGTTGTGGCAAATGTCTTTTTATTGCTCGCGCAATTTCTTCGGTTCCCAGAATTACTCTAGTTTCCTCTGCCACGCTTCTCGCATCGTATGAAAGTGAACTCCAGTCGTACGGGTCGTCCCCTACTTTTCTTCTTTCGTCACGGACTTCCGACGGCTGAGATACTGTTGTCCTTTTTGCATGGTGGTGTTCATCTCGTGTTTTCACAGGCTTTACTTTCTTTTTAAACCGCATCGCTCTCCCGGCTTGACGGTGAAAAGATGCAAAACGTCCCAACTGTTGACGACAAGCCTCTCCTGTGTGCACCGTTTCTGTGTTTTTTGAAGAATCTGTCGCTTTGGTCACGGCTTGGTTTTGACAATTTGTACTCTTTTGCAATACATCCTCTTGGAAAACATTGCCAAGCACGTTTGATTGCTTTGTGGACTCTTTGGGCGCCACCTTCTGTCGTCCAAACGAGAAACTATTCCATTGATTGTAGAATTTAACACCTAAAGCTTTTAAGCGATGGTGGAGATTGACTTGATGCACGTATTTAATGCGGATTTTTAGGTTTACGCAACAATGACATTTTAGTCTGCACCGCTTTTAACAACAATTGCTTACCTGTCAGTATCGTCGAATGAACATGCTAACAGAAGGGCTAACGTCCTTCCCAGATGTAGAGATTGTTCGGGTCTATGCATTGTCCGTGACCTGTACTTAACTGCTGTTGTGCAAGTGGTCGCCTGCATTCTGCCCTGCCCTTTAAAACGATCCTGTTTACGTTTGGTGTTCATCCCTTTGCTTGTATGTTGCCATTTGAAGCCTTATTTCAGTTCCCGTTCCTACTTCATAGTTTAAAGCTTTTCTTTGAGTGACATTTGTATTGAAATGCCTTTTCACGTTTAAACTTTTAAAAGTCGAGGTGTATTCGCATGCGCAAACGGCTGACAATTTGGAAACATGTTCTATACATTCCACTTTTACTACACCATTAATTGCTGGTGTCCAACCTAATCAATAATTTAGCCATGTAACGTCTGATTTTCGTTGTAATTGGTTATCTCCAACCTAGGATTCAATATTAGTTAAACTAAATATACCATAAATGTGTTTTTTAAGTAGGCATTGGAAAACAATGGTCTGTTTTTTTACATGAGCAAATTGTTTATTACAATGCATCGATTTGTGGGGTTATGCAAACAAAATTTAGCTGTGGAAGGCACACAATTCCATGGAGCACGATTGGGCAGGTCTCGGTTGCATGTGAAACCTGATTGGGGGAGATTGTGTGCATATCTGCGACCCATACATCATCGGTTCCCAACCTGTGGTTGACAAGACCCGTGGGTAGTGGTCTGTGAAATTGTTGCAGACACAAATGTTTTTCTTTCTTAAAACCCCTTTTTAAATCCTTTATATTAAGTTCGCTTGCTTGCGCGCTTACGGCCGTGCAAATCTTTCGATTGTTTTTTAACCCACTTCCCGTGATCCAATCGAGCTGACATTTTGCACACAGACTCGTTGTGCGTGACAATTAATGTTCGTCAAACATTTTTCGAAAATTTTACACTTTTTAGGTATTTTTTTTATATTTAGTTACCAATTGCTTAATGGTGGCAGGCAATCATCTGACCCATAGGTGGCAGCCATCTCAAGCCAGAGGACGAGAGGACTCTAGCCGCCCCGATGCCACGCATATAAAGGATTTATAGTGAAAAACTTTGTTTTTACGGGTTATACTTGTTACTTATTGACTCTACACAGTTGCCCGCATATTTTAGTTTAAGGTAGAAAGTGGCCCGAAGGTACAGAACCACTGTTGGTAGTCAGGCGCGAGTTTGCTGCCCTACATGTTGGTCAGCAACAGTTGTGATCAAAACTCCCTTTGCTTATTTGAGCTTCCCTTACGCCTGCTGATGTTGCCTCGGTCATTCGTGTGTTAATATCATAAAGACACGTTTTTTTAAATCCATGGATAATGGCATCTTTCTTTCCCATTGTATTATATAAAAAAAATAGATTGAATGTACGATATTGTTAACACGACAGTATCGTTCCATGAATAATAATAATATACGTTCAATAATTATGATGCTGCAAGGTATAGCTGGACCATTGCTTTCAATAACTTGATGCAATAGCCATTGGTTTTGTTAAACCACTGCTGGACGAGGGCCTTTTCATGCTGCGTATGTCATGGGGGGTTGTGGTCCTCTACACTCTTGCCAGTGCGTGTGGATGAAGGTGGTGGGGTGCAAAGGCATCGCAGTACAGGACAATACAACCAAATTTTGCCGCACTGCGCTCTACTGCCTGCCATGTAGCCACAGCCTATAACGACCCTTTGCGCATAGCTGTGGCCCATTTCAAGCACTTATCCAGGCTTTCTCTGCATTGTACAATGGAAGCACAAAGCTTGAGTTCATGTATTAACCGTAGAGGCAGTCGGTGCCTTTTGAACGTATTTCGTGAATAAACAAATCATGAAATCATTTTGGAAAGCCAATTTTGGCCTGTAAAGGAAATTGTACATTAGTAGGCCAGCAGTTCTTAGCCCATTGGTCACAAAATGCCTTGCAGAGGAAGCGCAGACTGCGGCGTGGATACCGTGCAGGAGAAATGTGCGTGGGAGAACAGCAGCGCCATGTTGGGGCAACAAAACGCTCAACGTGAAGCACGCCTTGCTAACAACACACTCGGCAATATGACACCGATTGCTTGTGAAACATCGCGTTGATTAGAGACATGTGCGGCAGCTGTCAGTTGGAGCAACTCGTGCAGCCAATAATGAATGTTTTAATGCCCTGCAGGGGTGGGTACCAGTGGTCTTGATTGTAGGGGACCTCCATAACAAAAATGATTGACTTCTCGTGTAGGTCTAAACATCATAATTATTGAAACGGGGCAATTGTTGAGACGAGCAAGAGTGTGGGTTTGTTATGCATGTCCATGCTAACAGCATTGTAAAACTTCCAGACTAAAGGTGCAGTCTTGCAGCTTTTTGCTCTCACTTGCTGGCAGAAGAGCCTACAATAGCAGAAGCTGTCGAGAGGCTGCAGGGTATTTGGCCTCCTCTTCCACAATGGCCAGACGGTCTTGTAAGAGGTGGGAGCAATCCACATCCCACCACACACGACCTGCTGATCGACTGAACCGGTCAGTGGTGGAAATGGGGGCCAGAACGCCACGGTGGGAGTGAAAAATTGAACCCGACTGCGTTCCGGAAAGAATCAAGGATTAGTATGTTTCTTTAGATGTGTTTGACTACCAGATGGACCCCTAGACGCACAGAGACCCACGCGTGGAGCAAATATCCTCTTCCTCCCGTTCCTCAGATCTTGTAAGGGTGGGGCATTCGTGTGAGTTCCCCCAGTAATTTCTTCCCATGTCCAGCTCTGCTCAACCCATTTCTACGAGGACAGATCTCCCCCCCCCCCCCCCCAATTTAGAGAGAGAGGTCGAATTGAACTGGCGACCTCTGGATGGCAAGTCCAGTTTGCTAACTATTACATCGTGGCAGCGTCTTTGCTGTAATGGCTAGGCGCGTATAGCACCCTAAATGTACAACTGCCCTAAATTTACTTTTTATTAAGTACTGTAGTTTTCTTGGAAAGCATTTCTGCACCCCCCCCCCCGCCAAAAAACCCCTCCCCCACAATATTATGGAAAAAATTAACAGTACCTGTGAATTGTACACGCGATGCTGAATGGTGTGGTGCAACGTCGTGTGCGTCGTTTTTAAATTGAGCACAGTTTGCATGTTATTGATATTTGGTAACGAAATGTTGAGGGGAAAATCGGTATGCGGGAAAGCTGTGGTTTAATTTGCAAATTGTTTCCAATTCCAAGGAACTCTCCACCCAGCAAGGAAGTCGTGAAATTAACAGAACAATACGCCTCGTAAACTTCGGACAATTTGTGTTTGTCCATCCGTCGACCACAGCTCCTTCAAGCAATGCGCCATGGCCAAGCCCTACTATATTCTTAATTGATAATATGCATCTAATTTGTGCGTTTGCTCTCTGAACCACGTGTTCATCTCCCAGCGTAATTCTCAACATGCATCTCTTTAGACATTTTTCAGTACTCGGCTTTTGTTTCATGTTTCTTTGCAAGGGAAACATCGGCGTCGAAGCATCGTTCAATACAATTGGAATTTTGCAGCACTGCCCTCGGCTGATAATGAATCCGCACGGCACCCTACAACACCTTGCTATACATCGTATGTATGATCATACACCGTGAAAGGGGAGTATGT